GTTCCAAAGCTGTACATGAAGAAGAACCTACTTCTGAGCGACTATGAGAAGTTGGTGAACATCCTGCATAGGTGTGTCTGGAGCAAGAGCACCTCCACAGATGACATGAACGTACTTAATGCAAAGGCTGTCTTTGCAGTTCATCATGGGATGAACATCAACTGGGGACAGGTAATTGTCAAATTCCTTGTTGAATTCATCAAGAAGAAAGACAAGGATACCGGTCTGTTCAAAACCCCCATGGGTTATGGTCTCCTAATATCTGAAACCTTGCTCAAGGCAAGGATAGGGCTGAGAAATCCTATTGAGGCAGACTACACCAAGTTGCTCTTCCTCAACACCTCAAATGACAGGAAGGTTGCTCTCAAGGCAGAGCAGAAAAGGCTCAGAACCCTTGAGTTCAACAGAGAAAGGCAACAACAGAAGGTTGTTCAACCAAAGAAAGTCACAAAGAAGCAACATAAACCTCCTACCCCTTCTGATTCTGAAGAAGAAATGCCTTTGGTAAAGAAGGTGGTCAAGAAGGTTCCCAAGAAGAAGACCACACCTGTCAAAGTCCACAAGATGGTGGCAAAGAAATCTGTCCTAAAGAGAAAGGCACCTTCACCTATCTCTACAGAAAGCACCCCCTCTGCCTCCCCCATTGCAAAAAAGGCCAAGATTCTGACACCTGCAGCACAGGAGAAGCTGGAGGACTCTGTCACCTCTACCCCAGCCAACAAAAATGCTTGGCAAGGCAAGAGGATTGTCTTTGAATCAAGTGATTCAGAAGAAGAAGTAGTGGTGCAGAATGCCACTACTCAGGGGGAACCACATTCTTCTCCTCCTGCATCTGCAAATGATCAACCTCTGGTGGTTTCTTCACCAGAACACCAAGAAGATAGCAGAATTTCGAGCCCTGCAGAACCCCTACTGAACAACTACTCTGCCCCTGATAGAGAATTCATCAGAGTTCTGGCATGGAGAAAGTGGAGAGTGGGACCTCTCACTGAGCTCCTTAAGAACTTGTCTTACTTCATCTCTGAGGAAGAAGATGTACTCAGATGGGCTGACACAGAAGATGTGGAACAATGCCTAAGCAAGGATTTTCTTCTTTCTGTCCTACAGAAGAAGAAGGAGAAACTTCAAGGAAAAGCCCCTCTGTTCAGAAAGTCACCAGAAGACCATGTCAAGGCTCTTCAAGAACATGAGATGGATGATTTTGATGCTTGGTTAGTTGAGAAGAAGAGGAAGGAGTCAATGATCAAGTTTCGACACAGTACACATGGAGAAGGTGAACCCTCCACTGCAAATGACCTACCCTTGGTCATGGAGAAGCTCATCAAAGAATGGAGGGAATCTCTGTTCACTGCAACCATACTAGAGGTAATTCCCACAATCATTCCCTCTCCCCCTCCCTCTCCTAAAATCTCTTCACCTTAACCTCAACAGAAATCCCCCTCACCCTCACAGAAAACCATCTCTAAACAGAACACCTCCTCACCTCATCAGAAACCCTCTTCTCCACAGAAAACCCCTACACCCCAGAAACCCTCAAACTCCAAATCCCCACCTCTTTCACCCTGCAAACCGCTCTCTCCTCCAAAGAACAGATCCCCATCCCCTCCCCCATCCCCTCATAGACAAATTGTCCAATACCAACCCCAACAGATCGTCTCTTCAACCACACCACCTCAACAGCAATCCCCTTCACCTACCAAGTCTGAACATGGAGCAAGTCCACAAGACTCTCTTCCACCACATCAACCTGCAGCTCAACAAAAACCTGAATGGTTTCTTAGGGATTCTGATCCTACAACCGTATCCCCTATCTCTGCACCAAAAGGGTATTCCAGGCATTCTATTGCCTCCAATCCCTCCCTAAGGAAGAAGAAGGTTGTCAGAAACAGGATAGCAATCTACTCCTCTTCTGAGGACTCTTCTGACATGGATGGATTCATGATCAACAAGTCCTACAAAGCTACTTCGAAGAAGCAGAAGACTCCACCTCTGACTCAGCTTGAGTATGAACTTCGTGTTGAATCTCTCTCCTCTGTCCAAGAGCATCAACCCTTGCCTAAGGGAAGAGGTCTAGAGATGCCTCCATCTGATGGACAAGAGAACCAAATTCCTTTCAACAAATTCGTTGAAGCAGCTGAAGACTTTTGTGGCCAACTCCTCCATGGCATGAACAAGTTGATACAGGTCAATGACAAGCACTATGGGCATCTTGCTCATGTGAATGATAATCTCAACTCTGGGATGAAGTTTATTTCAGATCGCTTTGAGAATCTGACAACATCTCTCAACGACTTCATGACCTCCTCAACTGCAAAAACAGATGCGCTGACAACAGAAGTGGAAAGTATTCATAAGACCCTCTTCACATTTCATCAGACTCTGATAGCTCAGGGAAAAGCTATTGAAACAATCTCCTCAAATATTGATGAACTTCAATGGGCTGATACAAAGACAAAGGAACAGCTACTGGACATAGAGGAACTGTGCAAAGTCCATCGTGATCAAGCCAGGACTCTATTTGCCCAAGAAAAAGAGAGATACCAGAAGATGGTTCTCTTAGAAGCCAGTAATAGAGATATCTTGTCTGCACTTCAGAAGCAACATGGGCTTATTGAAGGTCTCACATATGTGACTCAGACCTTACCAGAAACCCTGGAACAGATTGCCTCTACACAAGCCTCAGAATTCCAGAAGCTCTCCCTTCTGCTTGGTGATCTAGATGATGCCAAAAAGGGGGAAGAAGGCCCTCATTTATCAAAATCCAGGACCGCCAGAACCTCAACATCTGCTGAACCAAATGTGGATCCCACACCTTACTTTGAAGCTGCCCTTCAGAAGAAAAGGCTAGCTGGTATCCCTAGACCTCCATCCCCACTGAAGAAAGGATCTAAGAAGAAGAAAGCTTTAAGCTTTAAAGAATGGAGACTGGGAGGTTCTCAGGTGATGACTGCTATACAATTTGATGAAATGAAGCAGAAAATGACCTCCACTCAACAACAGAATATGTATTTAGACCATGATGGTCATGTGAAGGTCAGGCATGGTGGATCTCTGGAAGAAGCAGAATTCTGGTTTCACAACAGTATAGTACCAGGAAAAGATATCCATGAAGGTGTTCTTAATTACTTAGACTGCAAACTCTCACCTGTCTGGGCCTCTTACCAAAGAACTGGAAATCTGGCTGGAATCAGAAAAGAGGTGAATGCTGAATTAAAGAGATTACAAGGACTGGATGAACAAGCAAGAGCTGAAGCAGCAAAGGCAATTATGTAATCTACTCTTGTAATCCACCTTAATAAAAGAACATCTCTGCGTAACCCTTTGTAAGGCAATTCCTCAATCTTTGGCTTTTCCTTACTTTCTATCTGTGTTTGTTTGTTAGCTTTTTGATATTTTATATGCTATCTGAATGTACCGCACTCTTACTATCTTCCTATGCCAAGTTGCCCACCAAGATCTTAATGGAAGTTTTTTTAAAAAACTTTAAATTTTTATGGTGAAGGCACTTCTCTGGAAATAGTTAAAGGGTTTTGGCATCATCAAAAAGGGGGAAATTGTAAGGAATAATTGTAATAAGATTTTGATGATGCTATATTAATTAGGACTTTAAAGTACCCCTTTAGAAATTATGTATTAGAATTTTCCTTTGTAAAGTTCTTAGCATAATCGACTACCAGAAGGCCTCTCTACCAGAAGACCTCCTGACAGAAGATTTTGATGCCTCTCTGTCAAGGAACAGAAAACCTCAGGGTCCCTGTTACCCTTTAGTTTGACAGAAACCCTCTTGGTTCTCTGTAAGCTACTATCAACAGAAGTGTTCAAGACCTTCTCTGATCAGTTCTCTGCTAAAGACACCAGAAGGCCTGACACTCGGAAGAATTCCACAAAGCCGGGAAATCAACTGAAAGATTCCTTCAACGGCTAGGAGTATTGAACGAAAAAGCTACAGTGCTCGCATTAAATGCTCATTTAATGCTCCCCATGCTCCGTGGAGTAATTGCAGATGATTGGCCGCTATGTCAGGATTACTTTATCCCAAAATAGTAACCCGCCAACTTTACCGGGTCCTACTGGTCAAGTCAACTGCTCGCGCATTAAATGCAGTTGTCCTCCTACTCCTCCAACGGGAAGACAACCTCAGTATAAAAGATACACTACGAAGAACAACCGAATAACTTTGCAACTTTTGCTACAACTCCTCATACAAGATATTCAAACCTTGAAAAGCAAAAAAAAGCCTCCTTGAGATTCAAACTCATTATCTTCTACAAGAGAAGGCAGAAGTTGGAAAAATATTTTTTTTTTCAACTCAAGCAAAGTTCCAAGTGTTCTTCAACTCTTCAAGCTCATCACATACAAATCTGTTATAACGAAGCTAGTTGGAGGAACCCCTGTTTCAACACAAACTCTTCTTGCTACAAGAAGGACGTCCAAGTAACTGGAGTAGTGAAGTGGTGATACTTCCCGGAAACTCAGTGAAAGGACCAGTCTTAAAGGAAGCCAGGCAGTGCATCCTAGGAGACATCTAGGCTTGAAGAAGACGTGGAGAGCTTCTTAAGTGCTAGGACTAAGGCATTGTAAACGGTCGTTTTTACAAGCTTAGTGGAACAGTGGATTAGAGGAACGAGTTGTTATTTGAACCACTATAAAAATCCCTGGTGTCGTTTACTTACTGCTTTAATATTTGCACTTAGATAGAACTGTCTAACTCCTTAGACTTGGTATCTGTGTTCAGCAGAAATTGTCCTACGAGTTAACAGAAGACCTATTGCCTTTGCTTCTCTGAGGCTAAATCAACAGAACTCCCTACCAGAACCCCATCCGCTGCCAGTCTGTTCTGTCAACAGAACAGGCTATTCTGTAAAATCTGGTACTTAGTTTAAAAAGCTAAAAACCAATAAAATCTATTCACCCCCCCCCCCTCTAGACTGTATCCAGTACAACCGGGACCAACAAACATCCCTCTCTTTTTTGTTCCTATCAAAGTCGCCCTCTATTAAGGCAGCTACTTCGCTTACGGTGGGGGTATTGTACGTACGACCTTCTGAGTTCCTCTTGCCTGTTAGCTTCATTTTCAATGAAGTCGAATTAGATTCATTGAATCTATCCCTCGCCATCCTAAAAGACTGTGCATAAACATTGTACGTGTCCAGCATGTCTTTCAGTTCAGTCACCAATGTATCATGTAATGAGGTACCACCGTCACACCTATGACATGCAAGTAAAAGCTAATTAGCAATGGGCGTGTAAGAAAAAATAACTCAAGTGAATGCTAATGTTTTGTGGTGTGCTTAAAAATAATCCATAAGTGTGTAACCACTAACCTGACAGATGCAATTCTAAATGTGATCTCTTCGCTTGGGTCAGATAAGTACTTTTGCAAGAATTTTGGCTGATTCCCATCAGTAGGGAGAAGGCTGCCAATTCTATGGTAATTTTGCCCATTCAATCTGAATATTGGTAGTGTGCCCCCTTTATTGACCTCCTTGTCAACTTTTCCACCCATGGAAGTGAAGGAAAACATAGAATTATATGACCTGATGTTTTCAAGGAAATGTCTGTTGCGTTCATCGTTCCCAAAAATCAAATCATACAACAAATTAGGTGGTTTTTGCATCTTAGGAAGTACAACATTCCCTTGATTGCAACACATGGAGAACTTGGGTCGCTGTTTGACTGAATTTCTCTTTACTCTTTCAGCATGCCAAAAAAGTGCTCCGCAGTACTCGCACTCGTAAATAGCATCATGGAGATCTACATAGTCTTAAAAAATGTAATGATGATTAATTTTACATGATAATAATTACGCATGACATTGTTATGTATATAAGAATACGATATGTTAATACTACATGCACACACCTTCTGTCGAGCATATTGCATATTCTGCATCCTCCTCTGCGAGAATCAGTAGTAATTAGACTTAACATAATTAAGAGTTAATAATTAAGATTGTTAAGACATACGATTTTTTTTTAAAAAAAATATAACACAAATATTTACCATCAACAGGTAGTCCTTCATCATCATCGAACTGTCCATCCATTTCATTCTCTAAATGGTGACCTGTTAAAATGGAATTTATGTATCAATATTATTAAAAATTGTTTTAGGCGATTATTTACCAAGACATTTATTAAAAATTTAATGCTAATTGCTTGCCTTCATTGTGATTGTTGCACTCAATTCTTGGTGTGTCCTTCATACTTGATGAGTTTTAAATACGTCCTTCAAACATGTTCGACTCAAATAAAACGTAGTCATCTTCAGGTAATAGGGACATTCCAAAACGCCATTTGCCAGTGCTTTTTTGGCATGCACTTGTGGTGTTATTATTTGATATGGCTATTTTCAAAATGTTTAATGAAAGAATTAGATCATATTTATGGTAAATATGAAGACATGATTGAATAAAATGTTACCATTTGTGATATTCTGTAATGGATTCCTTTTTGAGTTTGAAGATGATGGAGCGTTCCTTTGAAGATTTCTGTCATTTTTAGAGCGATTTAAACTCCCTACAACCTTCTCATCAGTACCTTCTCCGTCATGCGTTTCATTTGTTGTTGGACTTACGAATTCGTATGAAGACCGTGGTCTTTTACCCAATATGATGGTTGATTTTGTCAACTTCTTCATCTAGAAGAAGACCTATATAATTCATATTTAATTTGACTTAGAATTTAAGATAAAAACTCTTAACATAACGTACAAACCTTAAATTATTTGTTATGTATCAATTTTGCAGCATTTTACTATACTACCTCCGCCCCAAAATATACTTAGCCAAATTCAAAACAATTTTCAATAAATATATTTATTGAAAATTATTAATAATATAAAAATGATATGAAAATGTTTTTAGTTAAAAGTACTTTCTTAATATGGTTATTTTAGAACTTTCATAATATTATACTAATAAAAATCATGATGCACAGGTATAAATTTCATAATTTTATACTAATGTTAACAGGGGAAGTATAAATAATTAAAAATTAAAATCATACAAGTAATAGAAAATGTTACAATTAGAACCACACAAACTTTACCAAATTTCGATGTAACAATATAGTGGAACGAACTCCCAAGGAAAGATGAGACAATTTTAATGGTAAATCAAAACAATTATAAAAAGTTAAAGTCTTACTCTAAGCAAAAGAATTACAATATGGAGAATGATACAAATTTACTATGTCCTTTTAAAATAGAATTAAACATCATTAAACAAATAAGGAATATGGAAAATTTATGGGCACATGAAGTTGACACGTGTGGTATATATATAGACTATAAGTGTTTAATGTTTGTGTGTGATTGGGGTCGTACATGTTCATATAATTGAAGTTTGCATGTGTTCAATTTGTCTTAATCGATTATTAATAGATCTATATATTAATATACTAACAAAACCATAGTTATTCATATACTACCTCCGTCCCAAAATATTTAGCCAAACTGTTAGCGATTCTATATATTTATTGAAAACTATTTATAATATAAAAAGTGATATGAATAACTTTCATAACTTTCATAAAACTCTAAAACTTACTACTTTCATAATTTTATATTCATCAAAACCATGATATAAATTTTAAAATTTGACTAAATATTTTGAATATACTACTATATGTCAAGTTTATATAAATATATTATATGTGTAAACTCAAACATTTGCTACTGTATCTATTTTTCAGCATTTTATTATACTACCTCCTCCCTCAAATTATACTTAGCCAAATTCATAACATTTTATTATATATATCAATATCCATATATTAAATGTGTTAAATGTATTAATATGTGAAGTACTACGTGAATAACACACATATTAATTCAAATAGAAGAGAATAAAAAATGATTTAATATAGATACTACATAATTTTTTTTCTCATTTCAGAAAATCTTCTCTTTCTCCATAAAGCTGTAAAGTCGTATACATGTACAATGATGTTTCTGTAATAATAGTAACTCCTACTCCTACAAATCCTCTTATTCATAAATAATAATAGAAGAATTAGGAGATAAATAAGGAGAGAGTATGTGATAAACAATGAGAGGATATATGATATTAATATACAATAATATACAATATTTTGAGATTTACTTTATTAACAGTCTAACATGTGAGTCATAACCGCATATCTCAATATACGAATAAGAAATGAATTTGTTTGGCCACAATTACTACTTCGATTAAAAACTGCTAAAAACAAAATTTGCCTTATATTAAAACTGTAAACCACTTTTGCCTTAATAAATTATACACATTCCCTTGAATAAAAAATATGTCAAAATTATTACTGAACGGATTAAAAACTTCTAAAAATAAAATATAGGTAGTAGTTCGTAAATGAACTTGTGATTGGCAGGGTTTTTTGGCAGATTTTTTCAAAATTGACAGGGATTTGGGCACGGAGATGCCAAATCCGTGCAAAAAACAGTTTGGCAAGACCTATTTGGCACGAAATTTTTGGTAAAATAAGTTAGGGAAAATTACCTAAATAATAAAATTCATACCTAAAATAAAAAACTCAGCCAAAATATTTTCTACCCTAATCTTAAAACAGATGGATATACAATAATGTATACATGTTATATCGAAATTAGCATGTTATAAATTTAAATCCCCAGTCTAATATATGTTTCTCAGTCTAATATAAAAATAGACACAAATATGTTAGTTAGCATGGAGTGTGGTGAATACGTTAATTATGGTACTCCTACAAATCCTCTCAACCATAAATAATAATAATAATAATAATAATAATAATAATAGAAAAGGTAGGAGATAAATGAGGAGAGGAAAAGTGAAAAATAAGGAGAGGATATGTGATAATAATATACAATATTTGGGGCTTTATTTACTAAAATGCGAGTCAAATCCTCTCAACCATGAAGGAAGGTTTTTTATTCGTCCATATATTAGTGGGAGGATTGTGTGCTGAAAAATATCAATTACTTAATTACTTAAGTAGGGAAAAATTATCTAAATAGTAAAATTCACACCAAAAAAAATCTCAATCAAATTAATTACTGACAGTAAAATTGTACATATACATTTTAAAATTAAAATAATATATATCCATATTATATCAATTTATAATATATATTTTTTTATTTAATCCTTCCTTCATTTAGTTTTTATAATATCTTTTGTATCAAGTATTTAAGTTTGTGAAAATAAAACATTAGTACAAATCGTATATACATACAAGCAAAGATATAATTATCAAATAGGTGTATGTATACTTGAGTATTCCAACAACATAAAAAAAGTACTCTGTATGAAGTAGGGAATAGTACAAAGAGATTGCAACAAATAGTAGAGAGAATGGGGTATAGTTTTATGGACACCTGCTTTTTTAGGAGGTGGAGATGCAGCTCCTAACAAAAAAATGTTCCTCACGTTGACAACTTTAATGCAAAAATTGTGTTCGTCAACATGGACAGAACGGGTGCAACTTCATTACGAATAGTAGTAGTGAGCTGCAAGTTCATTATAAAAGTGAGTTTTGTGTAACCATTCCAAACTCTTAAATAGACATAGTAGGTAGGGCGGAGGAAATGGTTTGAAATGGGCTTAGGTTTTTTTATATGTTGATCATAAATGGGCTTAGGTTAATTAACTAAACCAATTTTTATTTCTATCTTTTTATAGTAACAATGGCTGGTACACATGTATTTCTATATTACAGCATCTACTTGTATTATAGTTGTGAAATTTAAAATAATATATATAGACATATTATATCAAAAATATATTATTTTAGTTATCAAGTATTTAAATTGGGGAAAATTACCTAAATAGTAAAATTCATACCTAAAATAAAAAACTCAGCCAATATATTTTCTATCTTAATCTTAAAACAGATGGATATACAATAATATATACATGTTATATCGAAATTAGCATGTTATAAATTTAAATTTATATTTACTGTACATTTAATATATGTTTTTCAGTCTGATATAAAAATAGACACAAATATACGTGCTAACTACCATTAGCATCCATTTAAGAGTGTGGTGAATAAGTTAATTATGGTACTCCTACAAATCCTCTCAACCATAAATAATAATAGAAAAGGTAGGAGATAAATAAGGAGAGGAAAACTGTTTAATAAGGAGATGATATGTGATAATAATATACACTATTTGGAGCTTTATTTACTAACATGTGAGGCATATCCTCTCAACCATGAAGGAAGGTTTTTGATTCATCCATATATTAGTGGGAGGATTGTGTGCTGAAAAATATGAAGTACATAATTAAGTAGGGAAAAATTACCTAAATAGTAAAATTCATACCCAAACTAAAAAACTCAATCAAATTAATTATTGTCGTGATTATTTTTTTGGCAGCAATTAGTAACGGAATTAAAATAGTGCATATACATATTAAAATTTAAAATATATATATATATATACATATTATATCGAAATTATAATATTTTAAATTTATTTCAAATTTTCAAACTTACTTCATTTAGTTTTTATAATTATTCGGAATCAAGTATTTAAGTTTTGAAAAATTGCCTAAATAATAAAATTCATACCTAAAATAAAAAATTCAGTCAAAATATATTCTACCCTCATATTAAAATAGATGGATATACAATAATATATTCATATTATATCGAAATTAGAATATTTCAAATTTAAAAATAGGGGGAGAATATTTTAAATACACTTAGTAGGTAGGGCGGAGAAAATGGTCTGGAATGGGCTTAGGTTAATTAACCAAGCCAATTTTTATTTCTATCTTTTTATAGTAAAAATGGCTGGTACACATGTATTTCTATATTATAGCATCTCCTTGTATTATCGTTGTTAAATTTAAAATAATATATGTAGACATATTATATCGAAATTATAGTATTTTAAATTTATATCAAATTTAAAACTTTCCTTCATTTAGTTTTTATAATATCTTAGGTATCAAGTATTTAAGTTGGGGAAAATTACCTAAATAATAAAAGTCATAATTTTTCAAAAAAATAGCCAAAATATTTTCTACCCTAATCTTAAAACAAATGGATATACAATAATATATACATGTTATATCGAAATTAGCATGTTATAAGTGTATATTTATATTTCCTGTACATTTAATATATGTTTTTCAGTCTAATATAAAAATAGACACAAATATGGTAGTTAGCATCCGGCCATCCGTTAAGAGTGTGGTGAATTTGTTAATTATGGTACTCCTACAAATCCTCTCAACCATAAATAATAATAGGAAAGGTAGGAGATAAATAAGGAGATGAAAAGTGAAAAATAAGGAGAGGATATGTGATAATGATATACAATAATATACAATATTTGAAGCTTTATTTCTTAACATGTGAGCCAAATCCTCTCAACCATGAGGGAAGGTTTTAGATTCGTCCATATATTAGTGGGAGGATTGTGTGCTGACAAATATCAAGTACTTAAGTAGGTAAAAATTACCTAAATAGTTATATATATATATATATATATATATATATATATATACACACACACACACACACATTATATTGAAATTATAATATTTTAAATTTATTTCAAATTTAAAACCTTCCTTCATTTAGTTTTTATAATATCTTCTGTGTCAAGTATTTTAGTTTGAAAAAATTACCTAAATAATAAAATTCATACATAAAATAAAAAATTCAGTCAAAATATATTCTACCCTGATCTTAAAATAGATGGATATACAATAATATATTTATATTATATCAAAATTAAAATATTTTAAATTTAAGTATAGGGGGAGGATTGTGTGCTAAAAATATCAAGTACTTAAAGTCTTAAATAGGGAAAAGTTACCTAAATAATAAAATTCATACCCAAAATAAAAATGTATGCCTATCTACTCAGAATGTTATTGTGGTATTAGTTTGTATAATATCAAGTTCATTGATCAATTGAATATCATGGAGCCCAAACTACAAAGATTAAGAAGTCTACCAATCCTTGCAGCTGATTTTATCAAAGCAGTAAAATCTAGGATCTTAAAAAATAAACCAACATAAAAGTTGGGAGAAATTGAGATTCATATGACTATATCAATAGCATAAAAGCAACCTAGCAGCAAATTAATTAGGTTACACCTTAGTGAATCTAAACGTAAGTTCTGATATTTTTGCAGAATAAAAAGCGCTCTAAAGAAATAAACAAATTATATTTAACAAATTAGAATTGGAGAAATAATGAAAAAATTAGCACATAATTTTTTACTCGTATATTAGAAGTAATTGAAAGGCAAAAAAAATCAAAGCTTGTCTTCAACTGGGAGGAATTCCCTTATTCAAGGCCAACAAACGGCACAATCACAACTTTAAAAAATTGTCTTTAGGAGGAAATGTGAATGCAGAAATACGAATAATCAAACAAAAAATAAAATCCAGTTTTCTAAATGGCGAACTTCAAAGTTTCTCTTTTTTGACCTCCTTCAACTTCTTATTCTTATTTGTAGACCCCAGTGTTTTATCATATGAGATTTCTTTGCTACCATCTATATCCTCAGTTTTTCTCTTTGAGGATGAAATTGGAGTCTGCCCTCGGTCATGCTCAGGTGATGTTGGTGTCTGAATGAAAACATAATAAATATTGTATAATAATTTATATAGATTTTGGGTTTATATTTGCGTAGGCATCATAATCAATTGTTATGAGTATTCAAACTTACCAAGTTGGATTCTACCGTAGTTCGAGGTTCAAGAATTAAGTCAAGATCTGAATCAGAATTATATTCAGTCTGCATTCACCCAGTTGTAAGTTCAACACAATTGTATAGTTCATACTCCCTCCGTAATTAAAAGATCCTTATGTTAGGTTATGGCACAAGATTTAAGGGAGAATAGTAGGGGTGATGAATAGTATAGAAAAAGTAGGATATATGGTGAAAAAGTAGGAAAGAGAGAATAAAAAGTAGAAAAAGTAAGGGTAGTTGAGTATTTTTAAAGGAAAAACTTACTAAAAAGGGAAAGTGTATGGAACTTTTAAATACGTCCCAAAATGGAAAGTGTATGGAACTTTAAAATACCGAGGGAGTATTTGTTTGAACTTATGAATCTTATTTTATATCTTCTATTAAAAAAATACTTTATGATATTTAAGACTAACGAAGTACCTCTGGCTCTGCTTCATCTTTCCAGGATGACTTAATCTGCTCAATCTTTTCCTTATTGTCTGTTGTCATGCTTATGCAAAACGCAGCATCGGATCCATCTAAACTCGCGATGTCTCTCTCAATTTTGAATAAGTACTCCCGCCCAACCAAGTCGTAGAACAATGGAGGAGCACTATGAGGTCTTAACTTGACCTAAACGAAGAGAAACAAATACTTTAAAGCATTTATAAATACATTCATGCAGCCAGCACATGGAGTTTTGACATAGGAAATGAAAGCAACAAAAGTAATACTTGTTATATACATACATCATCCAGATGTTCACGAAAATCGGACGTAGGTTTTCCCAAAAACTGCTTCCATGCTTGATCCCAGAATAGCAGCTCAGCGTTGCGACAACCATGCACAACGTTCAGCTTCAATTTGTAGAGCCAGTTTTCTTCAGAAGACCGCACTCTGCACTTCGTGCACTCAAATTCATTATCACATTTTATGGCTCTTGCACGACATGACCTAAAGTGAACGGGGAAATCAACTTTAGTTTCAAAAAATATATTATTATGAAATCCTAATTATAAAATAAACGGAAGTTGTAATACAAATCCTTCTGTTTCAATTGTATAAAAAGGATCTAAATAGCTTAGTTGTTTAATAAAAGGCAACAGCCTGTCATGGTGTACAACTAATTAATAAGTATGAATTTACTTATTTGAATTTCGGGGGGGGGGGGGGGGGGGGGGGGTGCAGCGGTACAACATGCCAAACAAAATCTTATTTCTTTATTTAGAAATATCTAAATAAATGTAATGATTAATTAAGAATTTACTTGTGACTAAATATGACTGTGTTGGAGGCTATCACTAAATATGACCTTTTGAAGCATCCCATATAAGCCCAACTGGTAGCATTTAGAATAGCGTTTATCTTCCCATAAAACCACAACCCACGAACCTGTTCCAAGTGTACATTGTTCACAAATGAAAATGATTTACATACGTATAAGAATGCGAGAATTTGAAATTCAGAAATAAATTGAATGATTATATACCTCCTTAGTAGTTTGTAGTTCAGACAACATCTTGACAATTCCAACTTCTTTATCATCACTTAATGCAGGTTGTGATGATGTTGAGCTCAAGGATTGTGATGACCCCATATCCAACATCCTTATTAATTTCAATAAATGTCAATAGATTGAAATAATTGCTAAAAGGGTTTTTTTTTTTTTAAATCTGCTAAATATTGCACACTTATCATGGACATTATCAATATTCACACTTATCATGGTATCTACTCTACAATATTTTGAAACTAATCACCCTATATGCAAGGTTGGATCAACATATGCACTTACAACTATGAAGAGTCTTTTACTTTAGTAATCATGTGTTATTTGTATGATTTGAAGTGGTTGCATCATTTATTCATCATTGATGAGTTGATGACAATACTAAGTTTAAAACTCCATCACCAAATTACCAAGGTTGAAAACAAAGGTAAAGCATGGTTTTAGATTGCCATGTGAGGGTTAAGAAAGATTCACATTAATAGATTGACAAATCTTTTTGAAGGTTGCCATGAAGATCGTTATCAATATTACCTGGTTCGAAACTCCTCAATATCAGGGACATTGACGTTAAGGAGAACCTTTGAGGCATTATATGATGTTGAGACCCCCATCTGCTCACCTGAATTCAGTTTTCGTAAAGAAATATAAGTAAAGTATTAATTAAAGTAATAATTCTTTGCGATAAATTCGTAAATGCAAGTGTATGTATATTTGTCCTACCATAGCGTTTGTTTGTGTGTGCCAACTGGATGATCACGATTACATATTCCGACGTTGTCCTTTTTACATGTTCCAGGAATTGTTCGTAATACTCACTGTACAGTGTACAATGCAACCTCTTATCCCTATGCATGGTAAAATTAGAATATGTAAATTATTTTAATGTTAGTGTATGAGAACATTATATAGTATAACAAAATTTGAAATGATTGTATCACTTAACTCTAAATCATGAAGGTAAAAGTTACACCACTTTTTTTGCGCTCCAGGTTCCGCCTTGAACACCTTATCACCAACCTTGAATGCACCAATTACATCTAGAATTTGTCTCGAGATTACGATTATTATCACACATAATATAGTTACACAAATTACTAAATACATAGTACAAAAGAACAGAGTGTTATTTTTGAGATTACCAAACAATTGAAGACATACATCATCTCATTCAGCAAAAATTTTTGAGAAGCTTTTACACTTAAAAGGTGATAAGGATGACATGGTACTCTTTTCTTGACGCTTCACCTTGGTTTCCTCGGTGAAACATAGTCTGTAACGGTGGGAGCATGGCCGATTTTGTTCAATATTGGACCTTACAGTAAAGTGCATCATTGCATATGTCTCACCCTCTTCTATTTGGGCGTCAAAGATGCGCACCCGTTGTTGTGATACAGTAGCTTGAATCCTATCATCCTATTTGAGAAAAAATTGGAGTCAATTAGAAGTTATCGACTATTGTAATGAAATGAATTTTATTTAAGCAAGTGGAAATTATAATTGGACTTACTCGGATGTAAATTTTAATTAAGGCACTTTCTAAAATATCTTAGGTATGAATTTTAAAACAAAGTATTTTTTTATAATTTCACAATGATCACAACTTAAATTAAATATGTGTTAGACAAAGTTTTTCTCTAAGGCAGTTTTGTGTACATTTATATTATATTAAGGAATAATCTATTTAGACAGATTTTATTTAAGACATTTTTTTTAATTTTTAAGTAATCTCGGTACTAATTATCAATACGTAGAAGTTATTTAAATCATTTATATATTATCTTAGAAGTTTTTCGGACTGTTTTTAGATCGTCAAACTAAATGTCAAGCAATAAGATAACATATTAATCTCATTTATATGGCTTTCTGAACAAAATGCAACACACTTGCCCATGAGTTTGATGATTTTGAAAAGAATTATAATTACTATTTTTCCAGTATAATTTCTTGATGAAATAAAAGTATGAAGTATTCCAGTATGAAATTATTGACTACTGTAATGAAATGAAACTAATACTTAAATTGGAGTCAATGCTTAAGTTATTTTTTTAAGTCTTAATTAATCTCGATAGTAATCCCTTCAACATAGAAGTTATTTAATCATGCCTTATTTCAAATTGTCTAAGCCGAGATATTTTTTTGGCAACAATTACTAACGAGATTCAAAATGGGTAGAAATAAAAATTGCCTTCAATTAAAATTGTCTCAATAAATTCGGTCTTTATTATACACATTGCCATAAATAATAAAATTGAAATTAATTTCTACCGAGATTAAAATCTGCTTTAAATAAAAACTGCCTTAAATTAAAACTGTCTAAGCAAATCATGCCTTAATTAGCAGAGTAACTATTTAAGCAAACCAAGCAAAGTAAATATGGAAAATCTTATATGAAGGAAGGTTTAAAAATCATCCATACATCAAGGGGAGGATTGTGCCTTAAATTAAAACTGTAAATATGTTATTTTATCGCTTGACATTTAGTTTGATTTTCTAAAAGCAATCTGAAAAATTTCTAAAAATAAAATATAGGTAGTAGTTCATACCTAAGACATTTTTTTAATTCTTAAGTAATCTCAATAGTAATCCCTTCAACATAGAAGTTATTTAATCATGCCTTAATTAAAACTGTCTAAGCCGAGATAATTTTTTGGCAACAATTACTACCGAGATTCAAAATGGGTAGAAATAAAATTTGCCTTGAATTAAACTGTCTGAATAAATTCGGTCTTTATTATACACATTGCCATAAATAAAAAATTCAAATTAATTCCTACCGAGATTAAAAACTGCTTAAAATAAAAGCTGTCTTAAATTCAAACTGTATAAGCAAATCATGCCTTAATTAGCAGAGTAAAGTATTTAAGCAAACCAAGCAAAGTAAATATGGAAAATCTTATATGAAAGAAGGTTTAAAAAGCATGCATACATCAATGGGAGGATTGTGCCTTAAATTAAAACTGTAAATATGTTATTTTATTGCTTCACATTTAGTTTGACTTTTTAAAAACAATCTGAAAATTTTCTTAAAATAAAATATAGGTAGTAGTGCATACCTAAGACATTTTTTTAATTCTTAAGTAATCTCAATAGTAATCCCTTCAACATAGAAGTTATTTAATCATGCCTTAATTAAAACTGTCTATGAAATTTGATGATTTTGATGATTTTGAAAAGAATTATAATTACTATTTTTCCAGTATAATTTCTTGATAAATAAAAGTATGAAGTATTCCAGTATGAAATTATTGACTATTGTAATGAAATGAAACTATTACTTAAATTGGAGTCAACGCTTAAGTTATTTTTTTAATTCTTAATTAATCTCGATAGTAATCCCTTCAACATAGAAGTTATTTAATCATGCCTTAATTCAAACTGTCTAAGCCGAGATATTTTTTTTGGCAACAATTACTACCGAGATTCAAAATGGGTAGAAATAAAAATTGCCTTCAATTAAAATGGTCTCAATAAATTCAGTCTTTATTATACACATTGCCATAAATAATAAAATTGAAATTAATTTCTACCGAGATTAAAAACTGCTTTAAATAAAAGGTGCCTTAAATTAAAAGTGTCTAAGCAAATCATGCCTTAATTAGCAGAGTAACTATTTAAGCAAACCAAGCAAAGTAAATATGGAAAATCTTATATGAAGGAAGGTTTAAAAATCATCCATACATCAAGGGGAGGATTGTGCCTTAAATTTAAACTGTAAATATGTTATTTTATCGCTTGACATTTAGTTTGACTTTCTAAAACAAATCTGAAAATTTTCTAAAAATAAAATATAGGTAGTAGTTCATACCTAAGACATTTTTTTAATTCTTAATTCTTAAGTAATCTCAATAGTAATCCCTTCAACATAGAAGTTATTTAATCATGCCTTAATTAAAACTGTCTGAGCCCAGATATTTTTTTGGCAACAATTACTACCGAGATTCAAAATGGGTAGAAATAAAATTTGCCTTGAATTAAAACTGTCTGAATAAATTCAGTCTTTATTATACACATTGCCATAAATAAAAAAATTCAAATTAATTCCTACCAAGATTAAAAACTGCTTGAAATAAAAGTTGTCTTAAATTCAAACTGTATAAGCAAATCTTGCCCTAATTAGCAGAGTAAATATTTAAGCAAACCAAAGAAAGTAAATATGGAAAATCTTATATGAAAGAAGGTTTAAAAAGCATGCATACATCAATGGGAGGATTGTGCCTTAAATTAAAATTGTAAATATGTTATTTTATTGCTTAACATTTAGTTTGACTTTTTAAAAACAATCTGAAAATTTTCTAAAAATAAAATATAGGTAGTAGTTCATACCTAAGACATTTTTTTAATTCTTAAGTAATCTCAATAGTAATCCCTTCAACATAGAAGTTATTTAATCATGTCTTAATTAAAACTGTCTAAGCCGAGATATTTTTTTGGCAACAATTACTACCAAGATTCAAAATAGGTAGAAACAAAATTTGTCTTAAATTAAAAATGTCTGAATAAATTCGGTCTTTATTATACACATTGCCATAAATAAAAAAATTCAAGTTAATTCCTACCGAGATTAAAAATTGCTTAAAATAAAATTTGCCTTAAATTCAAACTGTATAAGCAAATCATGCTTTTATTAGAAGAGTTAATATTTAAGCAAACCAAGCAAAGTAAATATCGCAAATCTTATATGAAAGAAGGTTTAAAAGGCATGCATTTATCAAGGGGAGGATTGTGCCTTAAATTAAAACTGTAAATATGTTATCTTATTGCTTCACATTTAGTTTGACTTTCTAAAAACACTCTGAAAAACTTCTAAAAATAAAATATAGGTAGTAGTTCATACCTAAGATGTAAATTTTAATTAATAAAGTAAGTGTAAATTTTATAAAAACATGTTTAAATTAACTTGTTATAAAAATTATAAAAATTAATTGAAATAGTGCGAATATGGTATATGATATGAATAATTTGAATATATTTTTCTAATTAATCGGTTTTCAATTTTATTTATTATTATATTTTACAATATCGATAATATTGTAAGATTAAACTCTGTCAAAAATATACGTATTATATAAAATTATTTTAAGTATGGTCAAATACTTTCTCATCTTCAAGCAAAAGCTCTAGAGAACGGACTCCCTTCTCTGTGTCTTTGTAAAGAACAATTCACTTGCGAACAACACGAACCAATATCGCGTCATGGGGTTCAAGTATTCCAGTGACTTCAGCCAGTTTAAGCAATTTTGGAGCCATTTAAGATCTATAGAATGGTGTAAAACGAAAATGTTATGGAAAAAAATATAATTGAAAGAAAATATTAACACATGTAAGTGCTGCAGTAGACCGACAAAACAGAAAAACCGACCTAAATAAGTGGTAGAATTCTTTGACACCAATATGATGGTATGCACTGGTAAGGGGCTATATATAATCGTTTCCTATGAATTTAGTGAAGAGTAAGTATTTCCCAAAAATCCTAGCAAATAAAATGAGGAAAATATTTAATGAAGGAAGGTTTTAAATTCGTGCATATCTTAAGGGGAGGATTGTGTTCTGAAATATATATATAAAGTATTACCGAGATCTTTTATTTTTGGCAAGAATTACTACCGAGAATAAAAATGGGTAGAAATAAAAACTGCTTTAATTAAAAACTGTCTAAATAAATTTGGTCTTTATTGAACACATTGCCATAAATAATAAAATTCAAATTTATTCCTACCGAGATTAAGAGTTGCTTAAAATAAAAGTTGCCTTAAATTAAAACTGTCTAAGCAAATCATGCCTTAATTAGCAGAGTAAGTATTTAAGCAAAGCAATCAAAGTAAATATGGAAAATGTTATATTAAGGAAGGTTTAAACTTGTTTAAAACTGCTAAAAATTCCGCCTCAATTAAGTATCCACAAGACCTTGATTAAAACTGCTAAAAATAAAATGTGCCGTAAATTAAAAAAGATACGTAGTATTTTTTTACCAAAAAACCTAACTTTTGCAGGAAAATTGAGAAATTTCAGGTTAATATCATAAGAGAAGAGGGCCTATCCAATTAATTGTATGCACTTTTTATTCTTCTCTTATTTTCAACCTGAAAAACAGAAAACAACATCATGAGAGATATTGCACAATCAGCTTAATCTCAAAACTTGGCAGAAGGTAAAAATTAAAAATTGTTGATTAAGAAAAAAGAAATGACAAAAGAAAAACAAACTATTCAATTTTGCAGACAATGTTATGTTTTTTGTAAATAAGAGAAGAATTAAACATTTCTTAAAGGTGGTAAGACTATCCCGAGTAATATACATTGCTGGGTGGCTTGCAAAATTGTACTCTATGGTATGGGAGAGTACACTCTGCCTTGTTTTATACAAAGTACCCTACCTTCTCTCATTTTGGTACAACTATTAAAAACTATTGACTGAGGGTATTGAGTGTGTTGCTAGCTTCTGTGTAAAATCCAGATATTTTAAATATTAACATATAAAGGGCTTCATCTATCAAGCTCCATCTTCCTGAGGGTATTGAGTGTGTTGCTAGCTTCTGTGTTTGACTCCATTGTCTATGAGTTTCAACAACATCCCTGATAGGCAGTTTTGGTTGATAGAAACATTCTTGAAAGTGGATCCATATTCTGTTTTTATACCAATTTATAAACCTCTGGTTTCTATATTTCAAATTAAGGCTAATAGGGAAATAACAGAGTATTGATAACAATTGGTATCTATATTCTGTTTTCATTGGTTTTTCAAAGAGAAGATAATGCAAAACCAAAATGAGCCTTAAATCCATATCTCAAAGCAAGGCTACAGTAAATACCCTTATGTTGGACAAAATAAAAGTAATAGGCAGCAGCTCAATTAATAAAAGATAGGCAGTTTTTGTTGATGGAAACATTCTTGAAAGGCTAAATCAACAATTAAATCAACATCTTTGAAACAAAATTAAATATATCCAACAAAAAAAGATATGGAGTACTCTTTATACCATATCAAACAACATTATTATCAATTCTTTGAAGATAATGCAAAACCGAAATGAGCCTTAAATCCATATCTCAAAGCAAGGCTAAAGTAAAATCCCTTACGTTGGACAAAATAAAAGTAATAGGCAGCATCTCAATTAATAAAAGATAGACAGTTTTGGTTGATGGAAACATTCTTGAAAGGCTAAATCAACAATTAAATCAACATCTTTGAAACAAAATTAAATATATCCAACAAAAAAAGATATGGAGTACTCTTTATACCATATCAAACAACATTATTATCAATTCTTTGAAGATAATGCAAAACCAAAATGAGTATTAAATCCATATCTAAAAGCAAGGCTAAAGTAAAATCCCTTATGTTGGACAAAATAAAAGTAATAGGCAGCAGCTCAATTAATAAAAGATAGGCAGTTTTGGTTGATGGAAACATTCAGTGGCGGATCTAGGAAAAAGTTTTATTGGGGGCAGAATAATCAAAAGATACATCAAAAGAATAAAATTTAATAAAGTATTTGTTCAATATAGAAGTCTAAATGTTTGTGTATTCCTAAATAGAGTTGTCATCAGCGGCGGACTCAGGAATTTTCGATTGGCGGAGTGGCAGTGTTAAAAAATACATATAAATTCATATATATTAAACTTTCGGGGTAAATATACCTAGAAAAAAAATTGCAGGGGCGGCGGCCCCCAATTGCTCCTGTCTGTGTCTGCCGCTGATTGTCATGTTTTTTCGCTAAATATGAGTAATTACTGTCATGTTTTGACAATACTAGACTTTAAACATGATAATATTTACCAAACTTGATAATAATTACTCCAATCTATAGAATAAAACATGATAGTCCTATTTTGAAATTCTCAAACATTTTTACTCCTATTTCGGGAATTTTCCCTCTTGTTTAGAAAATTTATTTTCTAATAAATGTAAAAGATTAGACTCCAATAGATGTATAACTATTTCAGTTAAATCATCTATTATTATTATTGCAAACTTTCTTAACTTATTATAGATTCTGTTCTATAATAAGGCTAACATTCTTGAAATAGGATGAGATTCGAATATGTGACCGTCTTATTGGGAGTGTCACAGTGATGTCATCATACCACAAAGTCTATTGGATTTACATAAAAAACCTTACATAAAATTAATAGTTACATTAGATAAGTTTAATGACATTATCTATCATTTATTATTTATATAAAGAGTAATATATGGCTTTAGAGTTTAAACAAATAAACAACACTAAAGTCATACAAGGAGAGGACCAACCCAATAATGACCAACGTAACTACTCAAAGTGCAACACTCTAATACCGTAGTATCAAATTGATTAATTGATTAATGATTTAAAAATAAAGTGATATAAACTAAGATTGACCTCTTGCCTGATATAAAATCCAGCCGTAACCTTTAAACTCAGTCAGTCGTTTCGCTGTTTTGGATGAAATTCATAAATTTATGCCTTTGGAATTTTGATTGGGGCGGCTGGGCAGCAGAGTTATTATTGGGGGCAATTCATTTTTTTAATTGGGGGCAAATGCTTAAACTTCTAATATTTACTAATAATTTATATGGTTTTACTAGGCTTTTATTGGGGGCAGCTGCCCCCACACCATCCTTGCTACATCCGCCCCTGGAAACATTCTTGAAAGGCTAAATCAACAATTAAATCAACATCTTTGAAACAAAATTAAATATATCCAACAAAAAAACATATGGAGTACTCTTTATACCATATCAAACAACATTATTATCAATTCTTTGAAGATAATGCAAAACCAAAATGAGCCTTAAATCCATATTTCAAAGCAAGGCTAAAGTAAAATCCCTTATGTTGGACAAAATAAAAGTAATAGGCAGCAGCTCAATTAATATAAGATAGACAGTTTTGGTTGATGGAAACATTCTTGAAAGGCTAAATCAATAATTAAATCAACATCTTTGAAACAACATTAAATATATCCAACAAAAAAACATATGGAGTACTCTTTATACCATATCAAACAACATTATTATCAATTCTTTGAAGATAATGCAAAACCAAAATGAGCCTTAAATCCATATCTCAAAGTAAGGCTAAAGTAAAATCCCTTATGTTGGACAAAATAAAAGTAATAGGTAGCAGCTCAATATAATAGAATGGATCAAAATGAATATTAGAACTTAAAACTGAAATGAACTTAAGCATTGCATGGATTTAGATCTTGTTCTATTTGACTGTAAATGGATTAGTGTTACCTCATCGAGGACCACCATTTCTTAAAGGGCTTCATCTATCAAGCTCCTTCTTCCTGAGGGTATTGAGTGTGTTGCTAGCTTCTGTGTTTGACTCCATTGTCTATGAGTTTCAACAACATTCCTGATAGGCAGTTTTGGTTGATAGAAACATTCTTGAAAGTGGATATATATTTTGTTTTGATACCAATTTAAAAACCTCTGGTTTCTATATTTCAAAGTAAGGCTAATAGGAAAATAACAGAGTATTGATAACAATTGGTATCTATATTCTATTTTGATACCAATCTATAAATAGGCAGTTGTATACCCTGCAACACTTAAGTTTTCTTTTATTCAATAATTTTCCAAACCCAGGTCATATTATACAAAGCAAGAAAACACAAATTGGTTTTTCAAAGAGAAGATCATGCAAAACCAAAATGAGCCTTAAATCCATATCTCAAAGCAAGACTAAAGTAAATACCCTTATGTTGGACAAAATAAAAGTAATAGGCAACAGCTCAATTAATAAAAGATAGGCAGTTTTGGTTGATAGAAACATTATTGAAAGGCTAAATCAACAATTAAATCAACATCTTTGAAACAAAATTAAATATATCCAACAAAAAAACATATGGAGTACTCTTTATACCATATAAATCAACATTATTATCAATTCTTTGAAGATAATGCAAAACCAAAATGAGCCTCAAATCCATATCTCAAAGCAAGGCTAAAGTAAAATCCCTTATGTTGGACAAAATAAAAGTAATAGGCAGCAGCAGATAGGCAGTTTTGCTTGATAGAAACATTCTTGAAAGGCTAAATCAACATCTTTGAAACCACATTAAATATATCCAACAAAAAAACATATAGAGTACTCTTTATACCATGTCAAACAACATTATTATCAATCCTTTGAAATCCATATCTTAAAGCAAGGCTAAAGTAAATACCCTTATGTTGAACAAAATAAAAATAATAGGAAGCAACTCAATATCATAGAATGGATCAAAATGAAATTTACCAGAAAGACACACAAGAAGCCGTTTTTCAAAACTGAAATTGATCTGGATGGTGAAGGAGGATTAAATCGAAGAAGATGTTTCAGATAAATTGAAAAGAAAGTCTAAGTTTCCTATAACGTACAGTTCTATTGATGCAGTGAATCCAAATAAAGTGTTGTAGTCTCTCCGAGATCAAACCTTTGCCGCAAGAGAACTGGAACCAAGAGCAAAGGAGATGACCACGTCAGGTGGTTCCATGGCGAGGAAGGCGGAAATGGTATGCAGGGACGGCGGATCGGAAAGCACGACGGAGAACCGGAGAAGGGAGAAGCCTGGGAAAGTGGGAGACATAGAAGGAACCAAGAGCGTCCAACGAGAATGAAGGGGATTCGGCTAGGTTTTTTTTATGTTGTTGTGATTTGGGAAGAAAGTTTCAGATCTGAGAAATGAAAGACGGATACAGGGGAAGGCGTAAAAGGGGTAAATTTAGTTTACTAAAATCGGACAGTTGACAGGAACCATTCAGGTGAGCGAGATTTTTTTTGGAGGTGTTGTAGTGCCATTAAGGAGAGGATTGTTTAGTCATATATTAGAAATCATTTCCAAATAATAGTAGTATATTATACTCCATTCGTCCCTTAAAACTTTGCCAAGTTTGACCAACACGAGGATTCATAAATTTAAAAATTGTGTGGTTGAGGTTTGTGTAGAGGAGAGAGAATTAGTTGGAATCACAAATTCTTTACTTAAAAAGGAAAGTGGCAAAGTTAGTGGGATATTCAAAAAGGGAAAATTGACAAAGTTTTAAGGGACGGAGAGAGTATTGAATTATTGATTTTATATTACAAAAAATCATTTTAGATTTTAATCAGTCTGAGCCGTTATTGATTTTAGGGACCGTTAATCAGCCCAAACCAATGTTTTAAAAGGGGCTAGGTGGGCGCCTAGGCCGGGACTAGTCGGAGACAAAGAAATTGCATTTTTATCTGTATTTTTGCATAATTATGATAAATAATATTATATTTTTGTGTGTATAAAATACATATATACATATACATTAACAAACATGAATGATAGAATTATCACATTTAATCATATGTAGTATATGATAACTAATCACTTAACTTTATTATGTTATAAATATAAATAATGATGAAATTTAGGTATATATATAAACACATATAGTTTTATCTTAATTTACAACTTCATTTCTTTATATCCATGGATAAAGGTAAAGTATGTATATCGCTTAGAAAATTATTATAAAAAAGTAAAGTAATGTTCTACGAATCTAGACGGTCAAGGCGGCCGATTAGACATTCTAGGCGGGCAACTAGGCGCCATAAGCGGCCGACAAATTCACTTGAACAGTAAATTAATTAGTCGGAGCATCTAGACAAAAATCGGGGCGTACAGCCACTACCTAACGCCTAGACGGGACTAATCGAATGCCTAGAACGTTTTTTAGAACAGAGACCCAAACTTTTGGGTCTCGTATGGCTATTTTTATTCGGACAATCTAGAAAGGAAAAAATCAAACCATTAATTTCTTTTGGGCCTATCCAAGGTCAGTTTTTGAGTTTCAATTGGGTTTCCCCACCTCTGTCCATCCATCTTTATTATGTGTCATACAAATTGTATTTCCCGCCTCCAAATCACGATTTACAGCCACAAAATTGAATATTATAAATAAAAATAAATCAAATATCAAAATTGCCCCTGCAAACCACCCGCGGTAAGAACCGATTTATGTAACTGCTGTGTACATCATTTATCAAAAAAGCTCTTTGTACACATAAAAGTGTACACACTATAAAAAGAGGAAAAAGTTACTCTTTTTTTAACCCTTTCCCCTTCCTTCTCATCTACCTTTCTTCTACGCTCTTCGGTTTTCCTGCTTACTCCCTCAGTCTCATTCCCCTTTCAAGAACTCTCCCATTCCAATTCTCCATTGACACTTTCCAATTATGATGGGTCCGTAATCTTCTTTTTTCTCTCAAGTTTCCTTTCAACTGTGACAATGGGTCATGTTTATCTCAATACAATGATTGTTAGGGTAATCATCTACACCTTTTTACGTTTATATGGAGTTTGGTTTTTTAATTGTTAGTAAATTATATATGCTATGATGTTGAACTCTTGACTACTTTATTTCATTGATATAGGTTTATAGTGTAAACCATTGAAATTTTAGTCCTATTGTGTTCCCTTTATATGCCCATTACATGTTTGTTAAAATGTTTGAATGAAGGTTTTCACATCTAAGATGTTTCTGTTCTTTCAACTTTGCCATTAATGTGATTTTATGAGATTTGAGATAAAGAGGGAGACTACTGAAAAGTAGAAGGTTGGAACTATTGTCCATAAATTGATTTTCCTTATGTAAAACAATTATGTTGTGGAGTATTATTCAAAACATTTTGTGTGTCCTTGTGTTTATTTATATTGTTTGTGCATGATTAAAACATTGTCTTTGTGTTCATTTATGGTCAGTGTGTAGAAAATAATGGTCTGTGTGTTCGTTTATATTGTCTGTGTGTGGTTAAAATATTTTTCATGTATTCGTTTACATTGTCTATGTGTTCGTTTATATTGTCTATGTGTGGTCAAAACATCATCTGTGTTTTCATTTATTTTTTCCGTGCGTAGAAAATAATTGTAATTTGTAAATTTTAAATTCTCTAATTCGTTTGTAATGCAGGAGTGTCTATTCAATGTTTGTATTTGTGAATTTTAGATTCTCTTATTTTAATCATGTCCTTGAAGGTTGGGAAATGCTTGTATTATTATGTCTTAAGTAAACAATATTGTTTATAGGAAGAATTCACCCACCTAATTTAATCCATCCAAGACAAGATGATGGCGATGATGATCCTTCATGACGAAGATGATGAGCCTCTTTTTATATACTTCGTATATGTTTGATCATTTCTATATTTTTTAGGTTTGATCAAGGCATGTGATGAAGCAAATTATGGCATGCAATGGATTCAGATAATCAAGAATGAGAGATTTGAAATAAAGGATAGCCGAATACTCCATTCTTGCAATTAGTTATTTTGTAAAGTTAATGTTCATGTATTGAATATGATAGTGTAATTACTGTTGTTGTTGTTTTCAAAGTGTAGCTTTTGTATTAAGAATCTTTTGTATTAAGAAAATGACTTTGGATTTTGTCAAAGAAATTGAAGTTCTACTATTAATACATGTTGTAAGTTGATTGAAGAACTAAATTGTTATCCATGCTAATTAGTTATAAGTAATTTGCATTGAACCTAATTACGTAGTATTAGATTTGGAGAAAATTTATGGGTTTTATAGAAGTGTAGAAAATGTTGTAATACCATTTCTTACGTTTGATCAAGCATTGACAATATAAAATGGTACATAAACGATTCATAACCACGCCAAAGTGCCAAGCAATGGTTCAATCAAGCACTGACAAAATAAACAAACACAGAAACAATGCTTCAACAATGCTTAGTGAAATATTAATAGAAACTCAAGCCATAATAGATTTTAAGTACACCTTACTATACAAGTAAGTTAAAATCATCACCGAGTATGTAAACTACAAAAATTACATCCACCCATCATACTGCTATACTAATATACTTATAAACCATTGCTTGTGTAAATTACATAAACTAATTGGATACTTGTCAATTGTCATTAAACAAATCCAGATTCTGCTTCATCTACTTTGTCTTTGCCTTTAGTTGTAAGATTGGGGCAGCAGCAAAAACAAAAAATCCACACTCCTCTGTTATACGCTTCAACATCTTTGTATTTGTCTTTGCATTTGACTGTAGAGTGGGGGAGCAGCAGCAACACACCTAAGTATGGGAGCAGCAGCAACAGTGACAAGTTGATATTTCGTGTTCCACTGATAAAGAATCTGAGCAGTTTCTATAACACCGTTTGACTCTACATATGGTTGTCGATAATTAACATGCCTCAAATCCTAGTAAGGGTAAAAAAAATCTTTTAATATAACTTATTGATTTTTAAAAATTCAGAAGAAAAAGGAAAAACTAGCACATGTAGTATAATACCATCAGTATATCACACAAACCTAAACCACTATGGGCTCACACCCAACCTTAATTTTAAGGTCTTCAATACTCCAATATGAAAGGGAAATAAGTACTAAACTTAGGATAATCTTACCAAAATACTAAAAGTTATACCTTCACCAAACTAAGGATCTTTTTTGTGACCAGAGGTAGTAAAATAGAAAGATTTTTTGACCTGAAAAGCTCAGTTCTAATGGGTTTTAATTCATTGTAAACCTTTGCTCCAACACTAAGAGTAAGATCAAGATACACATTTTTGCTGGAATATGCCTTATTACACTATAAGTCTATAACTACAACAAAATAAAACAACTATAACTAAATTTGCAACTTCAAGAAACATTAACTAAAACTTCTATCAAACATTTAAGCAAACATGTCATGTGCATAACTAAGAAATAGAATAATTTGCCTGAAATTTCAAGAATTATTATCACCTACCCATAACAATGAAACAAAATAATCAAACATTCAACACCATAATAAAATAATTGAATTCAACATAACAAGATACATAAAATCTGAAAACGAAAAATAAATATAATCGTAAAAGCAAAAAGAAAATTGAAATAAATCAATAACTCAACATTCAAAGCTTTGAGATTAAAAAAGATTGCACTATGTATGAAGAAAAAAATCCCGTAATTTTTTAAAGGAGTTGAGCTTTGATGGTGTTGGTGGTTGAAAGAGCCGACTTTGTGCTGACCTAGGTCATCGAATCATTTTCTTGAGAAAATATATAAGAATCTATGGAAGAAAGAAGATCGAGATGAGTTCTGTATAATTAAAACTTTAATATAATTATGGAGGGATTGCAGAACAAAGAAAAGAAAATGATTGAAAGAAGTTAAGAAATGGCGAAAGAAAAGGAGAAGAGGGAGAGGCGTTGAGTTGGAGAGGAGAGGGTGAGAAGAGAAAGGTAAAAGAAAGAAGGTAAAAAATAAAATCTTTTATACGGTGTACTAACGTGTACAAAAGTGTGTACATGAAGCAAATTTCATCATTTATTCACTACTCCAAATTAATACTTCCTCCGTTCTTATTATATCTTCCAACTTTCCTTTTTCATACGTTCCAATTAAACTTTCATTTTCTCTTTTTGGTAAAGAATTTATGATTCACAACATTTTTTACACATTTCTGTCTCCTCTGCACAACTCTTCACCACATAATACCCACCTTTCTTAAATTGTGTGCCAAAGTGAAATGGAAGTTATAATAGGAAACTAGTAGATAAGTTGGCAGGGATCGATGATGGGCAAAGATTCAAGTTTATCTTCGAGTTCCGTTGATCTATGCCATGTCCCACAGTCATCTATGGGATAATAAGGGCATAAATTGGAATGCTAAAATTCTTTTATTTTACACGGAGAATATGAGGTTGCAATGAGTAAAGAAAGGATTGTAAATAGAATTTTAAGTTAAAGACTTGAATAGTTAATCTATTTAATTATATTAATACTTGAATATATGTATTAAAAAAGTTATATATAAAAAAGACATTGATAATCCGTCGTTCATCTCAATCTAATATAAAGAATACATATGTATGTTGAAGTATATTTGTAGTATAATTTAAGAAAAAATATGTATATACTTATATATTGAGAGGTCAGGGCGGGGCAGGTCGGGACGGCACAGGTCAATACTATTACCCGGACCTGCTCCATTGTATAGGCGGGGTGGAGCGGACTCGCCCCATTTGCAAGACGGGGCGGGTTTGATGTCTCGGGCCAGGGCGGGTCATTGCGGGCCGGATTTTTTTTTGACATCCCTAGATTGCAAACAATAATTTCAACTTTTTTTAATTTAAAAGCTGAAAAATGCTTTTTTTAATACTTTGCAAACACTCCTTAAAATCAGAGGCTCAGGCCTTTTTGAGATAATGACCAAAGCTATTATCCAAAAATTAATTATGTGCCAATAAAGAATCACAAAAATACTACTTTTAAATATCGTCAATGGAGATGTTGTAACTAGAGTTTGACATTTGTAAATCTTTTATACGGCCTTAGGATATTTATAATTAGATTGGTTTTAAATCTTTTAATTCCACACAAGACTCGGACAAATTCGATTAGATCAAATCATACAAGAGTTTGACATTTGTAAAATACACATAGAACATACGTCTATCCACTAGACCATGTTAGAGCAGTTCATACCAGACAGATCGAACTTAAACAATTTAAACATAATAGATCATAAAATTACAATCAAATTAAAAATATGTTACCAGCAAAGTGATGAGAAAATAGGTTGACTGGACAAGCTACTCAATCCATGAAAACAAAATTGACATTAGGTCAAGGATGCGATTATTTGTTCGAAAGATGTTTGAGATATATGAATTTGCGGACTGACCCAAATCCTTCCATCGATCAGAATTTTAATTCAAAATTAAGTAGTCCATCCATATCCAGCCTATCGGGCTATCTGAAATATGTGTGATACAACTTGAGGCAAGGTCCAAAATGCAGTTCTTAGTTGAGGCCTTAATTTAAATTTAGCAGGGAAATATATGACCCAACAACATTTTCTTAATTTTCAAAATAGAAATTGTCTAATATAGGAGTAAACATAAACATAATTGTACAAATAGGAATAAAACTTAAAACATCCTTCAACAGGACTAAACATTAATTTTATACCCTCAATACCCCTAACCTAATTAATTCTAAAGTAGGACGTATTTGATCCTATTAAAATATTAAAAAAATACAAAAATATTTTCAGATAATATTAAAAAAAAAATTAAAAATTTAAAAATTTAAAAATAAATAAAAATAGATAAAACACATTATAAATATAAAAAATTATGGAGGCCTTTCGTGCAACCTCGGCCACTACCCAGCAATATCGGCGAAAAAATGTCATTTTATGTAAAAACTGTCTTTTCTTCTTTGAAAATGCCATAGAGATTGCATTTTTACTCTTTGAAAATGGCAAATTTTCTCGAAAACTGCCATCAAGATGGCATTTCTAAAAAAAGTTGGCATTTTTTCTGGTAGTCGGAGCTGGTGGTGCTGGGAGGTTGTTGAAGCGGCGGCAGAGGCCTGCATATTTTTTTTAATTATTTTTTATTTTATATTTTATCTTTTTATTTTCATAATATTTATTTTATTAATTTTTTAATATGGAGTATATTTTATTTAATATATATTTCATGTTTTTTTGTTTTTTTTACAATTTTATTATAAACTAATTAATGTTATTTTTTTATGTTTTAATTATTAATGAAAGTGGTTGGGGCTTGGATTTGGGTAGAGTTATATTTGTTCAAACACTAAAGTTACTACTTTTCAAAACATGGTACTCTTATTTTTACATTTTGCCTATGTTTTACTCCAATTTGGGGAATTCACTTTTTTCAAAATTATCATTTAAAAGGTGGTAAGGCTTAATTTTTCCTTTTAAAAATCTAAACCATGCTGCTATTTCACTGATTCACTCGGCGTTTCTTGGGGAGTTGGGGTGTGAGGTGAGGTTATAAATTTCAAAAGTTTTACTATTAAAAAGGTAGGAAAAGATCTTACTATTCTCTCCATCCCTTAATAAACAACTCACTTTTCTTTTTGAGTGATCTCTAAAAAAAATTGCTTTCTTTATTTGATAAACAAAACAGTGCAACCCCAATGCCAAACAATGTGAAAAAAGTGACAAAAAGGGTCATTTTTCTTAAATTGTGTGTATTACAAAATGGTACTTTTAAAATAGGACGGAGGAAGTAATAATCCATTGCAGTGTGACGTTTTGGTGTTAATCCAACAACATCGCATCCCAAGAATGTTAGTCTTGGTCCATATGTTAAAGAGGGTGTATTGTATTAGGAATTAGTGACAAAATTTTAAAAGTACATTTATTTTAAAAGTTTAGGTGTATTCAATGTAGACTTTTAAAAGTCTACAAAAGTCTATGTGTATTCAATGCAGGCTTTTAAAAGTCTATAAACGTCTAAACATATTAAAACTTTCTTTCATTCTTATTGACTTCTAAAATTATGGATTGTCATGGTCTTTTAACTCATTCTTAGTACATTAATTCTCAGCAATTGTCTCTTCTCCTCATCAAAGACTTACGTGAACTTTTCTGTTGTCTTTTTACTCGTCACAAGTATGCATAGATCTGGTTGCAGATTTCACCAATTATTTACCCGGGATATTAAATCGGCCAACAATTCCGGAACTAGTACCTGCCTGATCGGGAGGTGGGTATCAGGATGGTTCAATATCGAGATTTAAACAACAAATTTTGATTTTTTTTTTCATTTTACGATAAATAAAGTTGAACAAAGAGTTTCTACATTAATACTGATACACAAGATAAACTTAATTTTTTTTTTGAAAAAGTGATATTTTATATGTCGCCTTTTGAAAAAATGTAGGGGTAAGATTGGCTCAGTTCTTGAAAGAAATGAGGAACCATTTGAAGAACCATTAATCCCATATTGATTCGATTCTAGAAATTTTTAGAAGAACCGATATACAAATTCATAGTATTACATCAGTGTAATTCTGGTACGACGTCGATTAACCATCAAGAAAAAAATATTTTAACTATGACAGTGTTTCATCGTTAAATCCCTAACACGTACATACAAATATAATTTCAAATTAATGAATATATAACTGTAAACAAGTATTCAAAATTTAACAAGCTAAAATGAAAAGAAAATCATTATTAAGAAGAAAAAATCAATTACACATATGTGTGTACCACATGTAGCAATGTGTAAGACTTCTGTAATGATTAATGTTCTTACTTATTGAGTTGTTTAATATAACAATTGATCGTAAAGAGACCGAGATTGTTGATCATTCTCAAAACTTTGAGTCTTTTATTTAATAAAAATAACTTTGGATTCTTATGCTTCATTTATTCTTGTAGAATTTGTGTTGCTAGATGAATTACATTTGTTTCATTTGTTTATTTAATTATTTATTATCATATAATACAGAGGAAATTACTCATGGCAGCACTAAAACATAATATTTTCCCCAAAATATGATCATAAGTTTGATTTTCTTTAAATAGAACTGAATATTACATTTCTACCCCTAATTGAAATCATTAATATAACTAATTCCCCTAGTTCCCTTGCATAACCAAAGTCATTTAATTGGTGGAAGATCAGTCCGATGACAACGGCAACGAACATCTCTGATGGAGGCGGACAGGTAGATCGGTAGCGGACTAGCGACGATCTAGGTGAAAATTTCGAGTACCGACAGTGGCGGTCCAAATTTAAAGGTCTATGGACTTTTTTAAATCTATAAAGTTATTCATGGATTTAAAAGTCAATAGAAATCATTCATAAAAAGTCTATGAATTTAAAAGTACATTGACTTTTTTAAAGTCTATCGTTTAGAAAAAAGTCTACCACAATTCATATTCAACACACCCCCTAAGAACATACTCTTTCTGTCTCTCATAACTTTGACAAATTTGACCGGCACGAAAATAATAAAGTAAAAACTATACATTTGTGTGTTGTGTAGAGGTGAGAGACATGATAGAAACTACAAATTCATTGATTAAAACAAAAAAGTTACAAAGTTTTAAGAATAATCGGTAAAAACCAACCATTCTAGCTCACTGGATGGGAGGTTACTGTGTCCTAGCGGAGGTCTCGGGTTTGAATCCCGCTAGGCACATTTAGGGGAGAGGAGGGAGGTCTTGCTCCCAATGATTTTTCCTATCTTCACGGAGTTGCACGGCAGCTTAGAAGGGAGCGGATGGAAATTCAGGTCGCGCGTTCGTGTGATGGGAGGACCCTTCTGGATACAGATGAAAGGAAGCTCTGCATACTTGCATAGTAGAAGGACCCTTCTGGATTCAGTTGAAAGGAAGTCATGCTGGATTCGTCCTGTGGTACCAGTACCGACGAAGGCTGACTGTGATAATATGCGGATTTGACTGTCTAGAGGCTTTGGAGGGTAGTCAATAAACTCCAGGATTATGGGAGCACAAGCACCGACACCTAGATTATCAGAAAAAATGAATAATCACTATAGAAAAATATACTTGGCACAAAGTTTTAAGAGACGAGCAAAAAGTTAGCTAGGATAAGTATGGAGATGGAAGAACACAAAGTTGTTTTTACTTTTTAAACCAAGTGGGAGAAAACCATGTACATCTTTCGACTAAGCCAAACCAATTATGATCACTTTTATTGGTACCAATATAGACTATGATTACATTTACGAGGCATAGGGACCATTAGGGAACCCAATGTAGGGGAAGAACTAGGGTGTAGAAGAGGTTTTGGGCTAATAGGCGTAGCATGTCTTGGGTCAGTTTATCACTTTATTGCGCCGACGATATTAGCTTGGGTCATTATCCCAATAATATTTTTTTTGCAATTATTGAAAACCACATAAAATTATTTCAATTATTTTCAATCCGCTTTTAATAATTTCATCTATTGATTATTCCTAAATCATCCCAGAAGTCATATGACAATCACTATCTCACGTGACCGCTTTCTGATTATTCTGGTAAGAAAAATGCCCTGTAATATTTATTTATAATAACTCAAATTATGATCGTTCTGTTTTTAATAGTCCCATCACCCAATGTCGTAATGATGCGGACAACACCTAGTATTTTAGGGTTTTGAAGACCAAATTTTCTCCGGCAATGGCCTCTTCCACTTGGACCGACAGTTAACTTTCGGCAATCAAGAGTGCGGCAAGGGGGTTTAAGCGGCAGCTAGAAACAATTGATTCACCGCGCGTAAGCAAGTGCGGACAGCCCCTAGCGCCAGCACCTCTCGGAACCTAAGAGTTAGGTTTTTTGCGGCAGGTTTTCTTCGTGGATCGTGGCCGACGGGCGAGGAAGACAGACTCTAGAAGGGATGAGGTGTGATGGCGATGGTGATGTGTATACCCTGGATGACAGGCTCCAGGTAAACTCTGCAGGCGGCAATGCGGGAGGCGAGCTATTCTTGGGGCAAGAAAGGGAATCGAACGATGGCTTTGAATTATAACGTTGTTATGATGAGGACGAGATGTCGTTGCAGCTCGAAGAGACAGCAGGGGCGATCAGTCCCCCTCCTGAACCACCGCGTGGATTCCAATTTTAAAGGGAGATTACAAGACAAATTATTTTTATTGCTGTTTGATGGACCGCTGACCCTGAGGTAGCTTGAATCCGGGAAAATAAGGGAGAAGATCGGAAAAGTTTATGTAGGATCGAGTAAGAATTCCTATAGAGTAACAGCAAGAGTATTCAATTTCAGAATCCTTTCCACATGTTAGAAGGTGATATTTATACTAAAAGGGTAATACTTGGTGCCGAAGTAAAAAGATTATATGATATTCTATTGTGGAGAGGACATGTGTCCTGTTTGTCTAACAAACTAATCACAATAATCTAATGGAGTGTTGACACGTGTAAAGGTGATTGGAGAGATAAGTGGGTGATGGAGTATATGGGTCCAGACCCCATGACCCACATACTCAGAAGACTAAGAGGAGCACAGCTGTCATCCAGTGGGCCCTCCATCGGCCAGATGGCACCCCATCGGCCGAAAAAGAGTCAACTCGGAATACGCTCCAGAAGCCAAGGAGAAGACTTGTCCTCCGTCGGCCAGTGCCCCCGTCGGCTGAGATTTGGTGGTCGTAGTTCAGTGATATGTCAAGTATGTGGCAAATCTGGTCATCATGCATTAATCTGCTACCATAGATTTAATCCTTCGTATTCTGCTGTACCTGCTTCTACAAATCCTCATCTCTATTCTTCAACTCCAACAACCTATCCTCACACTTTTCAGCCCTATCATTCAACCCCAACAGTTTACACTCCAAATCCTCCTAACACCTCAAATTCTAATCCACATATCTTCAACTGGCCTCAGCAATCCTACAGTCCTGCACCACTACAAACCTACAATCCTAATACACAACAATCAGTCTCTCAGAATACCTACAACTCATCTCCCACTGCTGCCTGGGTATCTGCAACTCCTTCCATTCTAGGACTACCTCCACAACCTCAAACTTGATTCCCAGATTCTGGTGCCACTCATCATGTGACTGCTGATCCATTGAACCTGCAACATAGTGAACCTCTTGTTACAACTGATAAGCTTTTTATGAGAAATGGTCAAGGTTTGGAAATTAAGTCCATTGGTTTTACTTTTTTTCCCTCACCTTATTAGTCTTGTTTAGCCTTGTCACTTAATAACATTTTGTATGTTCCATCCATTACTAAAAATCTCTTAAGTGTTAGTTAGTTTGCTAAGGATAATCATGCATTTTTTGAGTTTTATCCTTATGAATGCTTTGTTAAATCTCAGGCTTCTAAACAAATCTTGTTGCATGGTATCCTTGGAGAGGATGGTTTATACAGATTTCAGTCTGTTCCAGCTCTTGGTTTCCATCAAAATAACTCAACAACCAGCTCTTCTTCTGTGTCATCATCTTCTTCCAGTTTCAGTCCTTCTAGCACTTTTCTATCTACTTGTAATAATTCTAAGTCTTGTAATTCTTCTGAACTATGTCATGTTTGGCATTTGAGATTAGGCCATCCTCATTATGAGGCATTGAAATCTGTACTGCAACTATGTAATGTCTCTTCAATCAATAAAATGTTGTTCAATTTTGTTCTGCTTGTTGTCTAGGGAAAGCACACAAATTACCATCATCTAGCTCTACAACATTCCATCACAAATCATTTGAACTCATTTTTACAGACCTATGGGGACCAGTCCCATTCTTATCATTTGATGGTTACTCTTATTACATATCCTTTATTGATGCATATACCCGGTTTACTTGGATTTACTTCCTTAAAAAGAAGTCTGATGCTCTCATAGCATTCACAAATTTTTACAACTGTGTTCTCTATCAGTTTTCTGTATCTATCAAGTCTGTTCAATCTGATTGGGGTGGTGAGTTTAGATCCTTTTCAACATTATTGTCTGAAAAAGGAATAACTCACAGAATCATTTGTTCACATACACACCATCAAAATGGTGTTGTCAGAAGAAAGCACATGACCATTGTTGAAAAAGGACTGACTCTTCTCTCTCATTCTTCTCTTCCCTTAAAATTCTGGGATCCTGCATTTGCTACTACAGTACATCTTATCAACAGAACTCCATCTAAGTCAACCTCTAACTCTAGCCCTTACTTCAGATTATATGGCACTATTCCAGACTATTCTTTCCTAAACGTGTTTGGATGTTCTTGTTATCCATTCATTAGACCTTATAACAAACACAAATTTGACTTTCATTCTGAAACCTGTATCTTTCTAGGCTATTCTTCTACTCATAAAGGTTACAAATGTCTATCTCCCTCTGGAAAGATTTATCTCTCTCGAGATGTTATCTTTCATGAATCAGAATTTCCCTATCTCAAATTATTCTCTTCTACATCAACATTATCATCTAATAATGAATCTCCTCCTTCTGCAACTGCTCCTATCTCAGTTCTCAATCCAACAAATCTTGCACCATCACAACCCACCTTTTCTTCTTCCCAAAATGCATCTACTTCTACTAAAGATGTATCTTCCTACTCTTCACAATCTCAGTCCACTCAACATGGTCAAGCTGATCAATCTACTGAATTCCAATCTACTTCAAAGAGTCCAAGTTCTCGGTCTTCTAACTCTTCATCTTCACCTTCTACACCTACTGCTCAATCCTCACCCACTCCCCCTCTTCTCACTTCTCAAACTATTACCAATGTCCATTCCATGAGGACAAGAGCAAAGTCAGGGATAGTAAAACCAAGGCTTAATCCAACCTTACTGTTAGCTCATATTGAGCCTAGATCAGTTAAACAGGCTTTATCCTCTCCCCAATGGTTTGAGGCTATGCAGAATGAGTATAATGCACTCATGTCTAACAAAAGTTGGTCTTTGGTGCCACTGCCTCCAGATAAAGAGGCTATTGGTTGTAAATGGGTGTTTAGAGTCAAAGAAAATCACGATGGTTCTCTAAACAAGTACAAAGCAAGGTTGGTTGCTAAGGGTTTCCTTCAGAAGTTTGGTACTGACTTCAGTGAAACCTTTTCTCCTGTGGTTAAGCCTGTGACAATCAGAATTCTTCTTACACTTGTTGTTTCACACAAGTGGTATATTCAGCAAATTGATGTCAACAATGCATTTTTAAATGGAGAGCTTGATGAAGAAGTACATGGTACAACCTCCTGGATTCCAAGCAGAAGATACCTCTCTTGTTTGCAAGTTGCACAAGTCTTTGTATGGGCTTAAACAAGCTCCTAGAGCTTGGTTTCTTAAACTTACCTCAGTTCTGATCTACCTATCTTCCGGGGTTCATATATACATACTGATATATGTTGATGATATCTTGGTCATTGGCAACGAACCTTCTGCCATCAATCAACTCATTCATAAACTTGACTCATCTTTCTCTCTGAAACATCTAGGAGATTTGGACTTTTTTCTGGGGATAGAAGTGCATAAACTTTCTGATGGAGGTCTACATTTATCTCAAACCAAGTACATCAGGGATCCATTTAAGCAAACTGGTATGATTGATTCAAAAGGGGTAACCACACCAATGGTCAGTACATGTAAACTCACTCAAGAAGGCAATAATTATCTTCCTAATCCTTCCCATTACAGATCTGTTATGGGTGTTCTACAGTATGTCACTTTGACTAGACCTGAGATATGTTATGCTGTTAACAAAGTCTGTCAATTCATGGCAAAACCCTTACAAGAGCACTGGCAGGCTGTTAAACACATTTTCAGATACCTATCAGGCACTATTTCCCATGGTCTTGTAATCAAACCTCTTCCCTTACACTCCATACCTCTTCCTATTTCAGCCTATTGTGATGCAGACTGGACATCTGATCCTACAGACAGAAAATCTACATCTGGCTCTAGTGTTTTTCTTGGTCCCAATATTGTCTCATGGTGGTCAAGAAAACAACTCAGAGTTGCAAGATCTTCAGCTGAAGCAGAGTACAGAAGTCTTGATGATACTACTGCAGACTATTATGGATGCAATTTCTTCTCAGAGAATTACAAGTACCATTTTCTATTCCTAATGTCTACTGTGACAACCTCAGTACTGTCCAACTTGCTCACAATCCAGTCTTGCATTCTCGGATCAAGCACATGGAGATTGATCTATTTTTTGTCAGAGAGAAAGTTCAGTTAAAGCAGCATCAAGTCTATCATATTCCTTCCCAATATCAAGTCACTGATATCCTCACCAAACCACTTTCAAGTTCCAGCTTTATAGCTCTAAGAGACAAACTTAGTGTGATCAGTACCTCACAATAAGTTTAAGGGGGGAATATTAGATATATTCTAAATAAACTATCTGTAATAGTTTTAACTATTGTTAGAGTCTCAGTTATAAGTCAGTTGAGTTTGTTATGACTTAAGCCAACTCTATAAATACTTGCACTGTTGCTTCATATCTGAATAATAAGATTTCACTCTTTACCTCTTATCTCTCTTCTATTTTCTATCAGCATAGGATGTTTGTGCTTGACTTTCGAGGTAAGAACCATAGAAGACAAGTTAAACAATAAGTGGGGCCAAAGATAAAGTGGTGGAGGCTTGAGGGAGATCTTCAACAAAGCTTTACACATAAAATGGTCGGTGAAGATGTATGATGTATTGATAATGAAACACATGTGGATGATGTGTTGTTATCAATGGAGTTGACCATTAACAAAGTGGCAAAGGAGGTACTTGGAGAATCTAAAGGATGTTTGCCATCTAAAAAGGACACGTCTTGGTGGAATGATGAGGTGAAACAAGTCATAAGGAACAAAAGAGATTGCTACAAAAAGTTGAGGACAAGTTGGAGTGATGAGAACATAGAAGCATACAAGGAGGCTAAAAGACAAGCAAAGAAAGTCGTAAGGGAAGCACGAGGGAAAGTGAACAAGGAGTTGTATGAAAAGTTGGACTCTAACTAAGGAGAACTAGATATTTATAGACTTGCTCGTCTTCGGGATCGCAGGACTCAAGATATTGTAAAAGTTAAGTGTGTGAAGGATGTCGATCAGAGAATATAAATGGACGACGGAGAGATAAAAGAGAGGTGGAGGTCATACATTGATACACTATTCAACGGGAACAAAACGCAAGATATCGGTGATTTGTCCATACCAGATTGTATGGTAAATCGTGATTTTGTGAGACGGATCCAAACAACGGAAGTTAAAGAAACTCCGAGGAAGATGGGACGGAAGAAAGCAGTGGCTCCAGATGGCATATCGATCGAGGCTTGGAGAAGTTTGGGAGAGAGAGGTGTGGATGGTTAACAAGTTTGGAGAAACAACAAGATGCCAACGAGTTGGAGGAAGAGTACTCTTATCCCCTTATTTAAGAATAAAGGTGATGTACAAGAATGTGTCAACTATCGAGGGATTAAGCTTATGAGTCACACCATGAAACTTTGGGAGCGAGTGATTGAGCAAAGACTTCGAAGAACTGTGAAGATTTCAGAAAATCAATTCGGTTTTATGCCTGGTCTCTACAACTGAGGCCATTCACCTTCTTCGGCAACTTATGGAGAAGTATAGAGACGCTCATAAGGATCTGCATTTGGTGTTCATTGACTTAGAAAAGGCATACGATAGGGTACCTCAAGAAGTTCTTTGGTGAGCCTTAACTAGGAAAGGCATATCACGTAAGTATATGAGCATCATCATGGATATGTATGAGGATTGCACTACAAGTGTCCGTACTAGTGTAGGAAGGACTGAAGAGTTCCCTATTACTATCGGAGTGCACCAAGGATCGGCTCTGAGCCATTTCTTATTTGCCATAGTCATGGATGAACTTACGAAGTCAATTCAAGACGATATATCGTGGTGCATGATGTTTGCTGACGATATTGTATTGATTGATGAGACGCAATCGGGTCTTAAAACAAAGTTGGAAGTATGGCGACAAACATTAGAGAATAAGGGTTTCAAACTAAGTCGGAGCAAGATAGAGTACATGGAGTGCAAGTTTGGTGGAGGTAGAAGCAGTGGTAATAGCGTAATTACTCTGGATGGTAAGGAGATACCAATCAGCGATACGTTCCGTTACTTGGACTCCATAATTCAGAAGGACAGTGAGTTAGATGGAGATGTATCCCATAGAATCAAAACAGGGTGGATGAAGTGGAAGAGTGCGTCAGGATTTCTATGCGATCGAGATATGCCGACTACACTGAAGGGTAAATTTTATAGGACATCAATTAAGCCTGCATTATTGTATGGCGTAGAGTGTTGGGCGGTGAAACAATGTCACATTCAAAAGATGAGTGAGCCAAAGATGCGCATGCTGCGTTGCATGTGTGGACATACTAGGAAGGACCGCGTGAGGAATGAGACAATCAGACAAAGGGTGGAGTAACACCTATTGAAGACAAGATGCAGGAGTCACGCCTACGGTGGTTTGGTCATGTGCGTAGAAGACCGAGTGATGCACCTGTGAGACGAGTTGAGATGTGTGGAGAAGAGGCAAAGAAGAGGGGGAGAGGAAGACCCAAACAGACATGGGTTAGGGGAGTTCGAAGTGATATGCTTCTTCTAGGGTTAGATGAGGGCATGACTCTGTAGAGAGCTAAATGGAGGGCGGATATTCGTGTGGAGGAGTGATCTCGTATCATCTTTTCCCCTTATCTTTTTTCCTTGTTTTTTATCCGTATATATATAAGCATTATTTGTATCCTTTTTATTTTATCATTTTTATGTGTATTCATCTCTTTTTATATTATCTTTTTATAATAGCTTATCTTTTTTATCTTTATTTCCTTTCTTTTCCTTTTGATAATGATATCATGTATCGATTCATGTTAGCCGACCTCAATATCTTTTTGGACTAAGACTTGGATGTTGTTGTTGTACAAAAACCCAAACTAGTAGACTCATTCGAATAATTTTTCTCCCGCTATCTTCCTTAATAAGTGAAACCCAGAAGCTTAGCAGAAGACTAGTAAACTCGCTCTACTAAATTTTAAAGCATTCAGGATTTTCCTCATTCTGACACAAGCTAGACTTGACGAATAAATATAAAAACAATTTCCATAGTGAATATAGAACCAAAAATAAAAACAGAGCAAGACAAAATAATAAGACAATGCGTAAGGAGAAAAAATCTGCACTGAATAAGTATCTACTGACCAAGAATGCAAGAAGAAGTTCATAAATCATTTAATAATCTGCCTGGAGTGGAAACGTCAACAGAGAAGCTAGCAGAAGACCAGTTTGCAATCTAGAAGGTTGGGAGAAGAGGAGAAGCCTTTTATGAGATTAAACTAAAAAGAGTCGCAGATGCAACCCTAGCTATAAATAAATAAATAAAATTAAACTAATTTTAACTAACCAGTCAAATGTCTGCTTTTTGTGGAAGCATACAAACTACAAAAGCGTCGCATTTGTGCTTAAGCTCTGAATGAAAAAGAGATGGAAAACCAGAGCTTTCTAACCCCTGGTCGGTTTGTAAAAGCTATGCGCAAAGCCACCGCTCACCTGGGTTTTGGGGCATAAGCTCGCTTTTTGTAATTTTTAACAAGTCTGCATCAAGTATAGCCTCATTAAGACATTATGAATGTTGACTATGCATGCAAGAAGTAATCAGATATGACAAATTGACTATCTTCTAAGGTGATGTGATCCTACTTCAGTGATTCTCCACACAGGTTGCATTGGATAAACAATTTTTCGGTACTTTGGGGGGGGGGGGGGGGGGGGGGGGGCATCATATCAGAAATCAAATACTATCCTGTTCAAAGAATCTTGTTCAACTTTTGCAGTTATCCATCACCCCCTTCTATTTTCTGAGTTTATTGAATATTCAGGCTTTAGGAACCTTACTAAATTATTCAGGATAGCAACTACTCAAAGAGACTTACATCAAAGACATAGTAACGCGTCCACAGAGTCTACACCCTAATATGTCGTATCCATCAAATGCTACTAAGAACTATGAGATATATTCATAGAGATATACAAGTATCCAGCCAAGAAAAGACTAACCTAAAACTCTTGATGTCCTGCAATATAGCTTTGCATAGGTTTGACACTTCAACAAGTGTATAAGAATATAAGATTAAACGCCACAATGCAGAACATGTTCTTTTTACCTTCTCTAAAAAGGATATAAATCTATAAGCTTTAGAGGAGTAACTGTTTCCTAAGTAATCTTTCATGGCCCAAAGCAGCACTTTTACAGCAATTGGGGGAGGGGGAGGCTACATCCTGTACCAGATGTCGTCCAGGCATCTTTCACATAGTCACACACTCACACCTAACAGCATACGTGATTAAAAATACGAAGTTTGAATGTCCATAAGAGAGAACTGTGTCAGAGTTCTTACCGTATCAAACATGTACAATATGAAGTTCTACCTCAAGTCCTCAATCAAACCACACTCCTGGCTGATGCAAATGGTGTAACAAAAGAAAATAATTTGATGTTCAAGTTTTTTTTAAGTTCCTCCGTTCGATGTACTAATACTTCATCCAATTGTTAGAGAAAAGCACCATATCAAGATATAACATGGTTGACATTGTAAAGCCAAGACCTTCTGCATCTGCCTGATAACCACAGAACTTTCATCCAAGTTCGAAATAATACACAGTTGATATAAACATTCATTCTTTCTCAAAAGCTTTTTACACAGTTGGACTATTTTCTGGATTTCATCTACACGGCTAGCATGTTTAAACTTCTGGGTTGACCAAAATACCCCTGGAAGATCTGTCTAATGCCAAATCAAGCTCAGCCGCTTCCTTCTCCTTCCCGAAACTCCTCAACCCCTTTCTCAAAACTGCAGCCAGATAATCATCTAATTCAGCACCACTCCTCTTAAGGAGCTGATAAACCCTAACCGTCCCCTCCGCTCTCCCAGCAGCAATCAAGGCCTTGACCAACTTCACCAGCCCCTTGGTATTGGAGGCATCAAGCTGAATCGCACCCTCATTTTCCAAGTCGCAAATCAAGCGGTCGATTTCTTCCGTCAAGCCCTTGCTGGCACAAGCGGCAGCTATTTCGGCGTACAGGTTCAATTCCGGCGCGTCGTATTCCAGTCGAAGGGCGGAGAAGAGTTTGAGAGCCAAATCGCAGTTGTCTTGGCGGATAAGCTCTTTGAAAGCGGCGAGAAGGTCAGGCTTAAGGAGGCGGGAAAGTGTAGAAGAAACGATGGAGGTGTCGATGGAGGAAGGGTTTCTTTTCTGGGCACGCTTTAAAGCATGGATGGCTTGGATCGCCTCAGTGCTGAGAATTCGGCCTTTGTATAGCGGTCCCCGGTTGCTCCGTGGTCCGTTCCCACATCGAACCGGAATGTAGCCTCTAGAGGTGGCGGAGGTCGCTGGGCGGGCGGTTGTTGACGGTAGCCGCAAAATGAAGTTGAGATTTAAGGAAAGAGAGGCCGCCATGAGTGAAACGCCGCTGCTAAATCCACCCGAGGCAGATAAATTTGCTCCGATGTTTGAGTTTTTTACAGAAGTTCCGTTCTTGTAGAAGATAAAATAAAAAGTGAAAATTGTTGGCAACATAAAAAATAAAAGCGTCGACAGCAGGATTCGAACCTGCGCAGGCAAAGCCCAACAGATTTCGAGTCTGTCTCCTTAACCACTCGGACATATCGACCTTATGGTTTCTTTTTTCGGAAAATAATTATTGTATTTACATATTCTGTTGTGCTGGGTGTACACAATTCACTATACATCTTTCGGGTACATTCGTCTGTCTCACGCATACAGAGTTACCTGTCCACAGATAACCTTAGTCAAAATCAGATTTCTGGAACTATACCTAATGAACTAGGCGGCCATTTATCTAGGCTTCTGGTTCTTGATTTCTCTTATAATGCCATTAGTGGCGGCTTTCCTTCTACTTTTTTCAATCTAACTGTGCTTAAAACCCCCAGGTATATTGTATATATTAAATTTCATAATGCTACATTTTACTTTATAGTTTTCCAATATTGATTGTATTTATCAACCAGAAAAATATTCATTTTATTCTCTTTTATTCTTTTTCCAGTTTCATTTAGATTCACCTTTCTTATCTAAGAGTTTTTGTTATCCTTATACTTATCTCTAATGCTGGTATGACAGGATGAATCCATCTAATATTGCTACTACATTCTCCCAAAGGGCTAGTCTAAAACAAAAAAGTGATGATGATCACCCTATATGGATATATGTCACAAAATATGATAAAGGCGGGAGCGCCGCTCTGGGTGGTAATGCAACATGGATCTGTCACTTTTACAATCAAGAAAAGAAAGGGTCATACACCAGACTACCAGAGTAAGAGCCCACTTGTTGAAAATTTCTGGGAAAGGTATCAGTAGTTGTCCAAAAGTTTCTCATGATAATTTAATTGAAATGAATAAATGTGAAGATGAGGCGTCCATTGCAATTCAGAGTTCCTAACAAAAAAAAGTGTCTTTACCTACGCATGACTCAAGTTCCTTGGTTCAAGAGCCAAGTAGTTACAGTACTCTCATCAATAGAAAAGAGTGAATGGTCCTGTTATTGGTAGAGCTTTTGATATGCAAACGAGAGACCAACTTGATTCAGAGATAGCCCGAATGTTTTTATACTGGAGGTTTGCCATTTAATTTGGCTCGAAATCCATATCATGTGAGTGCATTCACATTTGTTGCTAATCATTCTTTAGGTGGCTATATTCCTCCGGGATACAATAAATAGAGAACAACAATGCTTCAACAAGAAGAAGCTCATGTCCAACGATTACTAGAACCCATTAAAAGTACTTGGGTAGAAAAAAGGGTGAACAATGTGAGTGATGGATGGGGAGACCCACAAGGAAGACCTTTGATTAATTTCATGGTTGTTTCTGAAGTTGACTCGATGTTTATTAGAGCCTGTGATTGTTCGGGGGAGGTTAAGGACAAGGAATTCATTGTTGCACTAATGAAAGAAGTCATTGAGGAAGTTCGTCATGAAAAGGTTGTGCAAATAGTTACAGGCAATGCTGGCAATTGTAAGGATCTCGGGGAAATAGTTGAAGGTATCTTCCCACATATCTATTGGACTTCCTTGCATTGTTCATACATTGAATCTTGCTTTGAAGAACATTTGCGCAGCAAAGAACCTTGAATCTAACCAAGAATCATATGAGGAATGTCATTGGGTCACATAAGTTTGCGGCGATGTTGTGCATATAAAAAATTTCATAATGAATCACTCCACGAGACTAGCCATGTATAACCATTTTACTCCTTTGAGACTGCTTTCAATTTCAGAAACATGTTTTGCTTCGGCTGTTGTTGTTCTTAAAAGATTTAAACTTATTAAACGTGTCTTAGAAGCAATGGTTTTTAGTGAACAATGGATGCAATATCGAGATGATAAAAAAGGGAAAGCTAGATTTGTCCAGGATAAAGTGTTGGATGAATCTTGGTGGGAAAAAGTTGATTATATTATTGCTTTCAATGCACCAATGTATGATGTGATCAAAATATGTGATATAAACAAGCCAACTCTACATTTGGTTTGTGATTTATGGGACACTATGATACATGAAGTGAGGACAATAATTTATATGCATGAAGACAAATCCTTTAATGAAGAGTCTTCTTTCTTTAATGTGGTTCATCACATTCTTCTGGATCGCGAGGGAAAAAGTATCACTTCCCTCCATTGTCTGGCACATTCACTAAACCCTAGTTAAGTTTTTCATTGCCATTATGTATTAATAGCCTCTGTACTACTGGTAGTATAATATTAATACGAAAGATTGATTTAAATATCATATAATTCATTAGCAAATAAATAAAATATGTAGCTAGTTTTTAACTACCAAATCGGCCTAACTGTCTATCTTGTTAAATTATGGGCAGAATATTGAAAATATACTATCCTCTCGTGTCTATTTATTAATGTCTATCTTGTTATATAGTTTCTTTTCAAGGTTCTATACTAAGCAATGAGTTAATGCAAGACACAGAGTACTTCCTCATATGGATGGAGAGCTATTTGTTCAACGAAACAAGTGCTTTAGAAGAATTTTGGGAAATTACCCAAAATAGGAGCAAATGACACTTGGAATTCATGATACGTCCACCATCCTCTGCCACTCGGCCTTAGCAATGCGGACCCTCTCAGTGGCAGTAGCTGCCTCGTCCTCGGCAACCCAGGCCCTCTCCTCGGCACGCTGGGCATGGGCCTCCGCCTCACTCAGGGTCAGGACGGCCTTATTGGCAGAATCCTTAAGGGCATCAAATGGGGACCGACAATCCTTCAGCTGGATCTCAGCATCCTGAGCCCTTCCTTGAAACTCATTCATCTTTCGTTGAGAAACATCCAAAGCTTGCTCCGCTTCTTAAAGGCCCTCCTTAAGATCCGATTGCTTCACGGCAGCCATCCTCGCCTGAAGCTCGGCGGCTTCTGTTATGAGGGCCATCTCGTAACACAGAACGGCGGCCTGCAATATCGAGAGAACATGACTACATAAACAAAACGAGAGGCAAAATAGGTGGATAAAGGGAAGTGGCAAAAAGAGCAGACCTTAAGTGCACTGGAGGTTAGCTCCTCAGCAACGCACTGGGTATCCATCTCCCCCATGATCCTAGTGTCGCAGGGCAACCACAGCTTTCCCAACAGATCCATTGTCCCAACGTTCTCAGAGACAAAGCCCTGGTCATCCCTCATTGAGAATTGGAACATGTGCCTCTTCTGACCACTGCGGAATCATGCGGCAGCCTACCTCCCTTGGCCACTGAACGTTTCTTCCGGCTACCGGTGGGAGTAGCATCATTGGCCCCTGGGGCGCCTGAGCCCAGACGGCTTTGGAGCTACCCAACAGTCTCCTTATCTTCATCATCTTCACCTTCATCTGTGGCATCCTCAATGACCACATCAGGTGAAGGAGCGGATGCTTCATTTGCTGCGGCATTGGCAGATACCACGGCATCATCTTGTTGGGCCGTGGCATCATCTTGTTGGGCCGCAGCATCATCTTGTTGGGTGCCCCCCTCACCAGCGGCATCCGCATCATGCCCATCCTCGGAGTTCTTGGAGGAGGAGGAGGAAGAGTCGCTGGATGACGGCTCAGTGTATTTCACACCAGTAGAAGGTTGAGTCTTCACCCTCCTGGCTCCTAGTGCCCGGTCAAGGAGGTCAAACAGATTGGCACTACTTGTAACAACATGGTTAACACAATAAAAAGCAAGAAAGACAGACAACAGTCAACAATATTAAGCACCAGGCCATAAATGAGTACCTGGAGAAGTCACAGAAGGTTGAGAAGGGGAGGCCAAATCAACCTTGGCCGGATCTACCCTTTTCTTGACAAGTTCAACTTCAACCTTCACGGGATCTACCATTCCTGCAGAGGCAGCAACCCCGGAAGAGGACGCTCCTTTCTGATGCATCCTCCTCTCAAGCACAGGCTCCTCGTCTTCAGAAGACTCATATCCGGGAGGGGACATATGGGCAAAGGCCCTCTCCTCACCTGAGGATTGGGGTCCCAACACATCAGAAGCAGTAGGCCCATCAGTCCCCCTTGTCCTTGTGCCATAGCCGCAGATGCTGCCAGGGCTGCGGCAAGGTCAGCATCAGCTGAGCCCTGCTCCATGTCCACAGACGCCACAACAGCGGCAGCAATGTCAGCTTCCTCATGGGCAGCGACTCGCACAAAACCTTGTGGTTCGCCACCTGTAGCGGCCCCTTGGTCTTCAACAGGAGCCTCGACGTAAAAAATGAAGCCTAGGTCCTTCAACTTCTCCTCGGAAAAGAAGGACGTTATATCCTGATCACCGTACTTGATGTAAGTGCCCACATCGTCGGCAAACCCATCTAACGCACCGGCATCGTGCATATTGAACGAAAGGGCACCCGGGGCAGTAAAGGGAGACCCCCCCTTCCTATCAGTATAGACAAACACAAACATGTGCTTCCATCCGTGGTGCGACGACGGGGTATGGTAGAACCCACTCCTACCAGACCATTGGGAGATAAGGGCATAGCCTTGATTCTCCAGCGAACTATTAAGTCCGGTTTGAAATAGATGCCTAAAAAGGCCGACGCTAACCTTCAGGTCTAGAACCTTGCAGCGCAAGAGGAAGGTGGCAATCAGATAGAAACCATTAGGGGTTATTTGACAAGGGAGCAACCCAACCCAGTTGAGGTACTCCACAAAAAACGGGTGCTGCGGGAAGCGAAAACCATGGTCCATCACGTCCAAGTGAACTGTGAAATAACCCGAGGGGCAAGAGGACGCCAAACTCCCCGCCTCAGGCCTCATAATATCAACAGTGGGACTGGCCATGCGCCTGGCTTTGCCCCACTCAGCATCGGTAAGGGCGCACACATCCACGAAGGGCTCGTTCTCCGCAAGGGTGCCTACCGCGTCCCCACGCTTCCCCTTGCCACCTCTCTGCCTCCTGAAAGAGCGGAGGGCGGGGATGTCAAACACGGGGGCGACTCCTTCGGCCTCATGCCAAGGATCGGTCCTATCACCGGTGTTAACAGAAGTGC